AAATCATATATTATGCTCACCACTTTTTTTACTTAAATAAATTTATCATCAAATAATATTCCATCACTATAATTACATCAAAGTAATTACGAAACAGAATTTGAGTCAACCTGTAATATGCTGGCTGTTATAGTAAGTACAATCACTTGTTCCCAACCATGATAAACATGAGACTTTAGCTTAGATTTGTTGGTGAATCAAACATCGATATGGGGTCATCTCTCCAATAAGATCACCGGGAAACATATGTACAATTATAGCAGCATATGCTGTGTTTCGTGATGATAAGGTCCATGCACGGTACACTATCGAGAAAAAGAAAAACGGTGTACGTAAGTCCTTACAACGAGAGGGACGTACGTAGGTAGGAGAAAGAAAGGTGCAGGGGCCAACCGGAGCATCCATAGCCACTCGTAAAGGATTTCGATTCGGTTATTCAAGACAACGAAAGAAAATGGAAAACACAACAGGAGAAACCCCACAGTTCGGTCGGAGTTGGCGGTGGTTGACCCGACAAAAGCTGCACCACTTCACATGGCTTAGGGTTTGCCCCTTGGTTGCTTCCCTTCCTTGCCTTTCCATCTTCTCTTTACAAGCCATATATATAATATTATTTTTTGTAATTATTGTGGTATAATCTAAAGAGATCTAGAGGGATCAATTTGACAAAAGAATCGGGAAAAAAGAGCTAAAAGTACCTCTCATTTGAAATACGAGTTTCTTATCTCGATTGTAAATAAATTATTGTTCTTTAAAGCTTTAAATTCGAACATCATAAATAAATTGTTATTCTTTAAAATTTTAAATCCAAACATCATAAATATTAAAATATGAGCGTTTAATATCATATAACTAAGAGTTATCTCTAAGTAAATATTACATTATATTTACTCTAAATTAATAATAAAAAATACATGCGAATATACGAAGGATAAGGGTATGAATTCGATGGTCTACTTTACTAGGTAGATAAGCACATGTCTTTTATTTGTTTATTTATTTTTAGTTGGGAGAATATCATTTCGTTTAGTTATTTTCCTTTAAAGCGAAGATGCTTTCTTTCACATGGCAACCATATCACATTCATGTTAAAAGCTAGTCGGCCATGATTCAACACTTTACGATATACTTGAATATCGATGATTGGTTTAAGTAATAAATAGTTTGATATAATTTAAGTAATTATCGAGTTCGAGTTTTTGTGCATGCAAAATTTTTTGTTGTGAGACCTATCCACCAAAACCAAGTGTGTCTGGATTAGTCAAGACGAAGCCTTAAAAACCAATAGGCAACCAAAAAAATCATGTTTGGTTCGATTTTAAGATCTAAAATATGACATATTTGATGAAAGATAAATTATGAGAAAAATAAAGATCGATAATGATACACAGTGGCATATGCACGTAGAACTCAGGGTGGACACGTGCTCATCCTGGAATTATAATTTCTTTATGTTAGTTGTTCATTTTATTGAAAGTGTTCACTCTTAAATTTTGTCTATACCCGTCCCATACAAAATTTTTCTGTCATTAATATATATGTTCCCATCGTGAAAAATATTTCTGAATCTGCCATGGTTATACGAGTACTCTCAAATCGGAGCTCATACGGTACATTCTAGTATTATTTTAGGGTTTTCAATATTCTTCCAGCCATAAATATATATAAAGTTTTTACTTTCTAGGTTTAGTGATTGATTTTATATAGATTATGATCTCTATTATATTTCACTGGAAATATAATATTTTTTCCAAATTGTTTTTATGAAATCTATTTTTATTAATTTACAGTCAAATACTTATTATTAGTCTTACTCATAAAAATTTAAAAAATATATGGGGGTAAAATATAACACATCTTATAAATATCTCAAACCTTATATTATTATTTATATAACAAATCTTATAAATATCTCATAATTTTTTTTTGTAACTTTTGATAGTCGAGATACTTAACAAAACAATATTATATAATCGGATGATCATTTTGTAACTTTTAATAGTCGAGATACCATTCATGTATTTTACCCTTATTTTTTATATTTTTCCAATAAGAGGACTCACATTCCTCCCCTAGATTTTTCTCTTTTTCTCCCATCTAAATATGATTAATATTAGATTTAGAATTTATCGAAAAATATTTATTCTATTTAAATACTTAAAACTTTGGGTCCTTATAGCGAAATAAAAGAAAGTGCGAGTCCCGATACGGTGAAAAAGTCGGCAATTTGCATGGTGCCGCAATTTCAATAGAACCCAAACATTATTCGCAATGAAAACGCCGATGCCGTGTTGTATAATTAAGTGATTATAGGGTAAGTTGCTTTATATCTCGGCAAAATTTTCGAGATAATGTTATGAAAAAAATTAATTCACGAGATAAAACACTTCCAAGATTAATTACTTAAATAAGGTGAAATCCACAGTGTTGGCCGTAGGTCGCCATGCCTTCTGGGCGACCTACTAGGTCGCCATATCTTCCCGGCGAACTACAAGAGATTACATGTGCCATGCACGTCCCAACACGCTGGGCATCCGAGACCATCCGACCGAGGCCATCCGAGAGCATCCGAGGTCATCCGAGAGCATCCGAGGCCATCCGAACGAGCTATGCGAGGGCATCCGAGGGCAACCGAGCAAGCTATGCGAGGGAATCCGAGGGCAACCGAGCGAGGGTAGGTCACCCGGAGTGCATGGCGACCTACAAGGTCGCCCGGAAGGCATGGCGACCTATGTGTTGGGACGTGCATGTGCCATGCAACACGTTCATTCTCTTTGTTTGAGCAATGGTAGGTCGCCCGGAGTGCATGGCGACCTACAAGGTCGCCCGGAAGGCATTGCGACCTACAAGGTCGCCTTCCTAAGTCGCCCGGAAGGCATGGCGACCTACGGCCAACACTGTGGATTTCACCCTATTTGAGCAATTAATCTTGAGAGTGCATTAGCTCGTGAATTAATTTCTTTCAGAACATTATCTCGAAAGTTTTGCCTTATATCTCACTAAATAATAATTCATATTTTAAATATTATAATTGAGTTTTCAATATTAAATATCGTATTACTCAAGTTATTTTATTATTCTAATTATTATTTGTATACTAAATGTTATTTAAAGTCGATATGACTTGATAACGGAATTTGATTCGATTCAATTTTATATGATTATTTTTGGAAAAAAAAGTGAGTTCAAATTGGATCAAGTTTAATTTTAGGGTTAAGGTGAAAATTATTTGACTCGATCTAATCTAATCCAAAATAATAGTACAACTAATCTTTATATATTTATGAATAATTATTATTATACTCATCTCTTTATAATTTTTTTGATTTTGTTCGTGTTTTACACATAGTATTAAACTTTTAGTTTTACACCGTTTTATGATCGTTTGACGAGAAAAAAAATAAAAAAATTTGAGATTAACTCATTTTCTCCTGTAAATATTTTCTCATTTCATATGGTTAATCTTAGTCTTTGATTTTTCTTTATCCAACGATATTAAAGATGTGCAAAATTGTTTTGGGTATAATTAGGTCAGAGGTGGCATAAAACTTTTTAATTTTACACTATATAATTGGATTTTGTCCCTATATATAGTTATGATCCACCTACACTTGATGTAATTTTTTTATACATTTTCTAGACAGTTAGATGAGTGAAAATACATTATCGATATTATCTAATTTTTCGTGTAAATAACTTCTCATTTTATACTACTAATCTCAGCCCGTTATTTTCATTCATTCAATCATCCTAAAAAAAGCTCAAAACTAAAAGAATTTACACAATGCAAATGAAACTTGTTTCATATATTTGTATCGAGTCTGATCATATATATATATATATATATATATCTTTTACTTAAAAATTAAATCATGTTTTGAATAAAGTAAAGAAAAAAACAAATTCTGGCCTTTTCATCTTCGTTCCATATAGAAATGGAATGCCCCGACCCTACCTTCCAACGTAAACCCTTCTCCAATAGACCTATGGCTAGACTCGTGGTTGGATTTTCGGGGCACTGTATAAATTCTTATAAAGGGGCTCATATTTTTTAGATATATTCGATTTCGGGGCAACAATAGTGACGTATTTTTAACAAACGCCGCGATATATCCATCTATAATGACGTTTTATCAATAAAACTGTAATAATAGTGGCGTTTTTTGAAAAATGTCACAACAGGTCCATTTATAGTGGCGTTTATTGAGAAAACAACACTATATATATATATATATATATATATATATTTTCGCGCCGATGTTGCGCCACACATACGATGGTGAAGATCCAAGAGCAGTACTCGTAAAATCTCCCGAAGGGGAATACTTTGCTCGGTGGACCCTTCCCACTAGACAAGACGGGTTCATCAGAAGACGTCAACCCTGTTTCGCTAATAGGGCAATGTTAAATTTGTCAAATCTCGAAAACCTAACCCTCCATCTTCTTTTCGATGACATAATTGCCTCCAAGTGCACCAGTGAATACCTCGTGTGACGTTTCGCATTACAGATACGCTTAAACCGTATATCCAAGCCATGGCTCAAATACTTCAGCCTATCCGGAACCAGCCCCTCGGCCTCCTCCCATAAACGTCGTACCACCCCTTCGCAGGACTCCTCCAATAATCCTTATATTTATCTATCACATAAATAATTATAAATATTATTTTTAAGAGCCACATCAAATTTGTCCGCATAATAGGAATACACACATTTACGACTTCATTTGTGTTTTATATGTGCTTATTTCCGAATTCAAATGGGTGTTTACCCGTACCCGACATGTTTTGACCCGACCCGATTAGATCGGATTTTTTTAAAAAAAAGGAGTTTGAGTCAGGTTGATTTTTTTAATGTCATGTTCGGGTCGGGTTTGATTTAGAGTGAAAAATACTCGATCTAACCCGAAAAAATTATAATTTTACTTATATATTTAGGTATAATTACAATAATACTCATATATATATTATTTTATTTCAACTAAATCTCTATTTTTATTGAAATAATAATAATAATTTTTAATAAATATATTATTTCGAGTCAAGTTGAGTTCAGACTTTATCTTAAAAAATCGGATTGGGTGGAAGGTGTATACTTTTCAGGTTGGATTCAGGTCGAGCGGATGATTTATAATTTTCAGAATGGGTCGGGGACCGAAAATCCGACCCGACCCATACCCATATCCAGTTTATTGGCCTAAACGAACAAGAAAACAACGGGAGGAATTGATTTTGAGGACCAAATTAGAATCTGGACATACTTTAGGGATATATATTGCAATTAACCCATATTTTTACTTTGGATTTAATTTATGAGTAAAATATAATTAAAAACTACACCATTATATGGATGCTCAAAATCAGGGACTTCCCTTGTCCAGATTAATTGTAAAAGCACAGCAACTGCTTCATTGAGTTTTAAACAAGAGAAAATAACTTTATTGACCAAAAATGTCTTATAATATACGATTTTAACCAAATCCTCCATTATTATTTTAATATTTTTTTTCAAAAATAATAATTAATTACGTAAAAGTTTTAGCTTTAATTGATGTATAATAATAGATGTCCGAATAAGGAATCAACAAAGCTAACCCCGTGACATGCGAAGATCTCCCGCTTTTGCGGCTAGTGGGCATTTGTCGTGTGTATATTAATATACAAAGGAGCCTCTCTTTTTTTACCCCTTTTTAGTCAAAATATTACCACTAATATTATGTTTTTCCAGTTTAATAATAAATAAAGAAAATGGTTTTTTATTAAAATAATACGATTATAAAGTAGTACTTGTTCTAAATACTCTTAACCATTCGACAGTGAATGCTCATTCGCCCTGCTGCAATCGTTAGTACTCGAATTCATGACCTCTAGGAACAACAACGATTCTTTTAACCACTGAAGTAAGTTAGTTCGTGCAAAGAAAAATGGGTTTTTCGTTTACATATTTTCCATTTTTTATATTCATTTAAAATTCGGGTAAAGTATGCAAATGATCTCCCAATTATAGGGTACTACTTTATTAAGTTCATCGACTATTAAAAGTTACAAAATAGTCATTTGACTATAAAATGTTGCTATGTTAAGTCCATCGACTATTAAAAGTTACACAATGGTCACCCGACTATTCATTATGTTCTGAAATCGTCATTTTCTGTTAAAAAATTGGTAGTTGTCTAAGCCAAACGTTGACATGATGACTAGGATATGATAGTCGTTTGAGATTCTGGGAGAGTGGCGGAACTTGGTGATAAAGTTTAGGGGTCAATTTAAAACTTTAAAAAATTTAGAAGTTTAAATTAAAATTTTTAAAAAATTTGAAGGGTTCAGTTTACATTTTTCCAAATATATTAGGTCTAACTAAAATTTTGAGAGGCTTAATAAGAATTTTTTAAAATTATAGGAGAGGATTTAGTTAAAAATATTAAAAAAATTAAAGTTTAATTTGAATTTTTAAAATTTTTTGGCAGTCAAATTATTTTTTTTGAAAATTTAAGGGTCTAAACTATAATTTTTAAAATTTTAGGGGACCATGGCCCCTACTAGCCCTACTTATGTTCTACCACTATTTTGAGATCATATTTTATCATATCAGAGACAATAAACTAACGTTCAACTTAAAATATCATCAAATTGTAACGAAAAAAAGTAGTTTGAAACATAATGAATAGTTGAGTGATAATTTTGTAATTTTTAATAGTCAATGAATTCAATAAACTAGCCCTCTATAGTCAGAAGATCATTTTATAACTTTTAATAATCGAATGACTTAGTAAAACGATACCCTATAATCAAAAGATCGCTTGTGTACTTTATACAAATTTTATTTAAACTTGGGTATAAACAATATTTAAACTTATCACTTTGACCACTCAAAATCCATTAATTAATTAATTAGTTATTTAACCATTTAAATTTAAATTTTAACGTCGTAATAAGGTACCTTATACTTAATGAAGTCTTAAAATCCACGTGTCGCACCGGGAACTCTCTTCTAAGTAAAGATTTTATTATTTCTTTCATTTTCATAACAAGCCACTTGCTCCATACAAAAAAATTTAGGGTAAATTACATATTTAGTATCTAAACTATCACTTTAGTTCATTTTAGTATATAAATTTTTAATTTTTTTAATAATAATAATTTATTTATTTTGTGATTCTCGGTCATGAGGAGATCATGAGAAAAATCATGGAAATGAAGCTTTAGAGATGGTGGGACCGAACACCAAAAAAGAAGCCCAATCTACGGGGTACAACAGCCGTCAGATGCATCAAAGTGCTGTGCCACGTCAATTTAGGGATGAATATGGGTCGGGTGGGGTCGGGTTTTTGTTCACCCGACCTCACTCAAAAACAAGAAATTTTCCACACGAGATTTGACCTGATCCGACCAAAATAAGATTTTACCGACCCGATATATAACTTAAAAATCCGATCGACCCGACTCGAAATAATAAAAAAAATATTATTTTTATTCAATAAAAATAATAACTTAATTAAAAATAATAATATATAGAAGGGTATTATAATAAATATCACGTCAGAACCTCTCATGCCCATCCCTACATGTCATTGAGCATAAGAATATTTCCGTATCTAGCACACAGTGGATTTTTAATCCCATAACTTCAAAGAAAAATTATCTGGAAAACTAAAATAATATGCTTTTTTCTTTATTAAATATAGGGTTTTTCCCTCTAATTTTGAATAATGCTCGCCTAATAATTATTTACGAGAATAACATTTCATAACAATTTATTAAGTAATTTTAATAATAAAAAAATATTTTTAAATATCATAAATCTAAGTAATTGTATTTATAAAATATGTGTTGTCATTATATTATATAAATTTTGAACATTTCTACTTATTTTAGATTATTGAAAAAAATAATATTTTTAAAAAAATCTAGTTCATAATTTTCTTATTAAATTAAATTTTATTTTAAATGTTATTTAAATTTATTTGAGTTATTTTTATTAAATTTTGATTCAATTTTACTTAAAACGTTCTTTAAAAATATTTAAGTCATTTTCATTTTTATTCCCAAGCTAAAAAATGGCTATTTTGCCGGAATAATGCATACGGGGAGGTTTAATTCCCCAAATAATGCACTTTAATTATTATTTCCCCAAATGGGGTGATTGCTATAGGAAATATGGAAAGCTCGGCGTCTTCAGGCTGTCGTCGTCTTCAACTTGGATATCCCGACGTTTTTAGGGTTAATTTTTACATGCCAAGGTGGATCTCTCGGCGTCTTCACCTGTCGTCTGATGGGAATGCTCGGCGTCTTCAAGCAATTGGACTGCGGGATCTCTCGGCGTCTTCTGCATGCTACAAGGAATGCCAATGTGGATCTCTCGGCGTCTTCACCTGTCGTATGGCGGGAATCTCTGCATTACTCTCTGAATCGTGCATGCATTATGGGGGCCTGAACGTCTTCATCTCTGCATGCATGCAGAGTTGATTTAACAGTTCAATACAATAATAATAGGAGTGCTCGGCGTCTTTAGTTAATAGGGTTACAGGGGCGTTCGATTTCCCGGCGTCTTAAGATATACATGGAGAATATTTGGTTGCAAGTGGTCTTGTTCGATAGAGTTTTGCAAACATGTGTGTGGACCATTGTACCTTGTGATGACCCAAGCATCTTGCCTCTGCATTTTGGACACTCTGATCAACCATTTACACTCGGGCCCATATTTAACACACTTTGCGTACAAAGTTTTCTGGTTGGACTCTGCAGTCTTGCAATCTACATGGCCTCTTATGCAATACTCTTTAATCGCTAGTGTAGCTTCTTTTTTTCCTCTGTATTGCTTCCCAACTGCTAATTCACCAGAGTTATCGGACAATTCAATCATATAGCCTGAAGTTAAATGTGGCATCTCCGGGAATTCAGGTGCCCTCATTGCTTCATAATCAATCTCCTGCATGTGAGGGGTAGGTTGATACGATGTCGAATATTCATCAATATTGATATCAGCTTCATCACCATGGAACATGGCATCATCCTCAGCCAAAAGAGGTTCCTCAGTTTCTTCATCTTCACTGGAATCTTCAAGTATTTCTTCCCAGCGGTTTTCAGCATCATACTCTGCGGCTCCAGATGTTCCACCAACTTCATTTGCGCTTTCCAACATCGCCACAAAGCTGTTCATCGACCTATATGTTGGGTTATCGAAATGACTCTCGAAACCCATTTGAGATGAAGTTTCAACCGCATTTATTGATGACCCAGGCACATTAGATATATTACACAACTCAACAAATAACTCAATAATTGGAATATTTGTTGAGTCATGTAATTCAACCATAGTTATAATATCATCGTCTTCTTCAAGTGGTACTGCAGCATACCTGACCGGATTGGGACATACCATAAATCTGTACCTCAAACCATCAACTTTAGCACGTATTTTTCTTTCTATCCTCTCCTTGATCTCTGCAAATGTGATGTCCCTTTTAAACATCATATTTATAGGTGTTTCAGACTGAAAAATAACTCCGACCTCATTTTCCAATCGTGAAAAATTTGTTGCTCATTTTCTCTACACGTAAAAATATAGATATTCAGAATAAATTACATTAATAATGTAATGAAAATTAATTATTTACAAAACTATAAATAATAAATATAAATTATGTTAACAATTGTTTTATAAAAATAATACTTAAATACATTATTATTACGGTAAAAATATCAGGATTACATAATGGGAATTTTTTTCCCACTAAATCAAAATAAAAATTCTAATAATTATTATATAAAAATACAACTAAAAATTACACGAAAATTTAAATTAACAATAATACTCAAACTTAAATTTTTTGTATACCTAATCATCAAACTTACATTTTCTAATTTTAAATTATCATTAGTACTCTAAATTACATTACTATGGTCTCATGAACAAAATTTAAATGTATCATTCTCCTAACATATATGAGCATTCTTTCAACACGAAAAAAACAGAGTTCGCATGGGAAACGAGAAAGAACTTACGTGTTTTTGAACGACGTTAAACCAAAGCTCGAAAAATTACCGAACCAACAAAAATCTCCAATATCACTTCAAGTAGCAGCTTCAATTGAATCTAATGCAAAAAAAAAATTCCCTCACTTGCTTCTGTAAGTTAAAACCAACTGCATGCAATGAAATACAATACCCACCCCTATTTTATAACAAGTAATTGAAGACTTCGAGTAAATTATTAGTCTCACGCTTCAGACGAATCTCACGCTTCGGCCACAAAGAATACAGACGCATGCAGAACGAATCTCGGAAGAAGAAGACGCCGAGATTTCACGACCACCTGCAACCAAATATTCTCCATGTATATCTTAAGACGCCGGGAAATCGAACGCCCCTGTAACCCTATTAACTAAAGACGCCGAGCACTCCTATTATTATTGTATTGAACTGTTAAATCAACTCTGCATGCATGCAGAGATGAAGACGTTCAGGCCCCCATAATGCATGCACGATTCAGAGAGTAATGCAGAGATTCCCGCCAGACGACAGGTGAAGACGCCGAGAGATCCACATTGGCATTCCTTGTAGCATGCAGAAGACGCCGAGAGATCCCGCAGTCCAATTGCTTGAAGACGCCGAGCATTCCCATCAGACGACAGGTGAAGACGCCGAGAGATCCACATTGGCATGTAAAAATTAACCCTAAAAACGCCGGGATATCCAAGTTGAAGACGACGACAGCCTGAAGACGCCGAGCTTTCCATATTTCCTATAGCAATCACCCCATTTGGGGAAATAATAATTAAAGTGCATTATTTGGGGAATTAAACCTCCCCGTATGCATTATTCCGGCAAAATAGCCCTAAAAAATTGTATATTTAGTTTAAAAATAATTATAATTTTATAATATAAAAAATATTTTATACTTTAATTATCTTAAAAAATTTAAATTTACATTATATGAAATCAATCAAACTTCAACGGTTAAGGAACGTGTTGTTATCCATTGAGTTCCTAGGTTTGAGCGTCGTATATGCAAGGACGAAGTCATGATTATAGTTCAAGAGGACAAAGTATAATTGACGGTATAAAATGGAGGGCAAAATCGAATCGAACCGAACCAAAATTTAAAGGTCTTAATATGTGTTTACCCCTATATTTTGTAATGATAAAATAATGAGAGACAGTGTCCGCACCCAAGTCCTAAACGGCGAAAAGGATGCTACCAATATAAACGGTCAGCCTATTAACAGCCTAACACCACGCGCGAGAACTCACTCTCGCAAAGATTAAAACTTTAATTCAAAAAGTAAACAACTTTTTTTTTCATTTTCTCCCTCTTGCTCTGTTGAATTTACCAAGGTCGGATTGCTTCATAGTTCAGCCTCCACAATCTATTATGTGTCGGCATGTTTCACAAATTATATGTATAAACAGAAGGAAAAATAAAAAAAAGCTGTGTCTTTTCTGCTCTGCTTTTGCTTTGGCTTTCGGTTCTCTGATTTCCCGGCGACAAGCGTGTTCACCTTCTCCTTGATCCTATAAAGTTCCTTTCTTTTGTTTTTTGTTTTTTCTCTTTCGAAAATGTTTCTAATTGTCGGATTCTAGAACCCAAAACGATGAGCTTCGACTGAGTCGAGGAGCAGTTTCGGAAACCGGTTGTTAACGTTCCTTACAGTTAGTTCTTCTTAACCGATTCAGACGTGGAATCTGGTTGATTCATTTGGAGTATACCAAATGCTTGAAATAGCTGACAGTCAAAGCTTTTCACGAAGCTAACCGAAGAGAAAGCATAAAAGTTTTGGCTTTTGGTTTGCTTCCTAAGTTAGGGGTTTCGGATTTTTTCTGGGATTTTAATGTTAATTGGAGGAGCTGCGGCGTTTCTGTAATAGTTTTCCTACAAAGGGTTGCTGCTGCAAAATGGGGGTTTTTTTTGAAGGGTTGTGAAGAAAGTTGATCTCTTTTGTGTTATGTTGGAGCAAAACAAGTGATTGGATTCCTTAAGAAAGTTTTTTTTTTTTTTTTTAATTTGATCCAAGATTCTAAGCATGAAGGCTCCACCAAATGGATTCATGGCAAGTGCTGCAGAAGGTCTGGTTTCTCTTATTTCATTCATTTTGTCCCCCTTTAACTCAGTTTTATTCTTCTGGGAGTCAAAATAGTCTTTGGGTTTTCCTTAAATATTTGGTTGTTTTCCTCTGTTAACCAGATCCCTCTAAGCTGTCTTGGTATTGGTTTTGTTTTGATGCTCTAGCAGCTCTACATTTGTCTTGTAAGATGTCACATCTTTTTTGTGAAATCCTATGAAACCCCATTTTCATAAAGATGGAAACAAGCAAATAACAAGACTAAGAGTAAAGGATATGGTAACCAAGGTTAAACTTTCCTCATTTTAATGAGGAGAAGGTTTTGGGTTTGGGATCAATCATCATTTGCAATTTGAAGGTTAAAAGAAGAAAGAAAGCATGCAACAATATATATATATATATATATATTTGTCATGTTTAAATATACAGAGTTGCATAAGAATATTCATGGTAACTTTTAATTGTGGATACCAGGCAATTGTGATTTGTTTTTTGCTTTGAGGCCTTAAAATTAATTGCTGCCTTGTTTATGGTTCAAATTTTGGAAGAATGTGGATAGAGATCTTTTTGCAAGTTGATGCTTTGTAATAATTTTAGAACTTCCTCTTTGTGTGTCCGGTTTTTTGGGATGTTCGATTAATATTCTGGTTGGTTTGTTGAAAGCAGCAGAAAGGAAGAGTATCAATTCAGAGTTATGGCATGCTTGTGCTGGACCACTTGTTTCTTTGCCTCCAGTTGGAAGTCTGGTCGTTTACTTTCCACAAGGTCACAGCGAGCAAGTGAGTTGTTTTCATCATTCATTCCTATGGAGTAAACTTGTTCTCCTCGGATCTGGCGTTTTATGGAATTTTCTCTGATTATGATATGCTTTTTTCCCAGGTTGCAGCATCAATGCAGAAGGAGACCGATTTCATTCCAAGCTATCCTAACCTTCCTTCCAAGTTGATTTGCTTGCTCCATAATGTAACATTGCACGTAAGCAAAAGCACCGCACCGTTATCCCAATTTTCTTATATATTCGGTCATTGAAGGGGAAAAGTTTTTTCCTAAATGAGCTTTGTGCACGTATCAGCAACTTTGGATTGATACTATCTCTTTCATATTTTAGACGGCCTTTCTGTTTAATTGCCAAGTCGTTTGTTGGCATACGTACTTGGCGCATCCATGTGCTATCTGGTTCGTTGTGGACCTTGTGGTTGTATTGACTACTTCTAGGAAGCTATTGTTAGGTGCTGAGTCATATTGCAATATGAACAGGATCGATCTTTTTATAGTATATGCTTGACGATAACTTTGTAATGGTCAAAATGATGTATGGAAGGTAAGTTGTATGATTATATGAGTTTACTAATTGGTTCGATTATTTAAACTTTGAATCAGGCTGATCCAGAAACGGATGAGGTGTATGCCCAGATGACTCTTCAACCTGTGAACAAAGTAGGTCAGCTATTCAATTTGAGAATTAATTCATGGATATTGCAGAACTGCATCTCTTCCTTTTATTTCCCCTTCGATGAAATATGGTATGAATCTCTAAATTATTTTTCGACAGTATGACAAAGAAGCGTTACTGGCATCTGATATGGCCCTCAAGCAAAGCAGACAACCCGCTGAGTTCTTTTGCAAGACTCTTACAGCCAGTGACACTAGCACTCATGGTGGATTTTCCGTGCCTCGACGAGCAGCTGAGAAGATCTTCCCACCTCTGGTGCTTAGAAACTTTCAATTTTAGCTTTCTATTATTAAGATTTGAGAGGTCTGATGGAAACATTTTGCGTTCATTTTTCTTGAAATCTGAATGATGATATTTGATAGGATTTCTCGATGCAACCGCCTGCTCGGGAGCTAGTAGCTAAAGATTTACACGACAATACATGGACATTTAGACATATCTATCGAGGTATCTTTCTCTTCAAGATGTAGTTAGTAATCTTTAGGGTGATACTAATAAGTCAGCGCATTTCGTTCTGCATATTATGGTAGCTTATTTAATGTTGTAGGCATTGGAAACTGAATAGCATATCTAAACGATTAATGGCTTCTTTCCAGGACAACCAAAGCGACACCTTCTGACTACTGGTTGGAGCGTCTTTGTTAGCACGAAAAAACTCTTTGCTGGTGATTCCGTTCTTTTCATAAGGTATGATTCATATACATATATACCCGCAAATTCACACACATGCACTAACACTTGCTGCTTAACCGAAATTCCTTGCTTAAATGTAGAGACGAGAAGTCTCAACTTCTCTTGGGTACGAGGCATGCAAATAGACAACAGCCAGGTCTCTCATCCTCTGTAATTTCTAGTGATAGCATGCATATTGGGATCCTTGCTGCTGCGGCTCATGCTGCGGCAAATAATAGCCCGTTTACTATATTCTACAATCCAAGGTATCGATGTAATACATTTGGTCGTATATAGATTCATGTTTATTTTCTAATCATCAAAAAAGGATATTCATTGAAGGTCTAAAAAGATTTTATTAATATCGACAGGGCAAGCCCTTCTTTGTTTGTGGTACCCTTAGCGAAGTATGACAAAGCTATGTATACCCAAGTTTCCCTTGGCATGCGGTTTAGAATGATGTTTGAAACAGAGGAGTCCGGGGTGCGCAGGTACATGGGCACTGTAACTGGTATCAGTGACTTGGACCCCGTGAGATGGAAAAATTCACAGTGGCGTAATCTTCAGGTGTTTTTACCGACATCCCGAGTGCCAATATTAGCCTTTCCTTTTCCTTTAGCGAATTATTATCATGCAAATATTAAGTTAAATCATGGTTTTGTCATTCATAATACATTGCTCTATCATGGTGATGAATATCTCGGCATATGTCCTTCCGGTCTTGTTATTTGATTGTGCAACTGTTTAAACTGATTCCGTCATCGATTCAAGATTCTTCCCGTGTTGAATCATACATTCCGTTTGAATAATACTTGCTCTTATTTTAAAGTCAAGGTGATGTTGCACAAGGAGAAAATACCAGTTAATTTTTTTATTCTCAACAGGTTGGGTGGGATGAATCTACAGCTGGTGAGCGGCCCGGCCGAGTTTCAATTTGGGACATTGAGCCTGTCATAACTCCTTTCTACATTTGTCCACCTCCGTTTTTCAGGCCCCGGTTCCCCAAGCAACCCGGGATGCCAGGTAAATCATATTTGCCGTACATATCTTACTTTAAACGTTGACAAGTCATAGGAAAATTCGAGAACTTAGTTTTAATCTCTTAAAAGATTTTGCAGATGATGAGTCTGATGTTGAGAACACCTTCAAGAGAGCTATGCCCTGGCTTGGAGATGAATTTGGCATGAAAGGCGCCCCTAGTTCCATCTTCCCGGGTTTGAGTTTAGTTCAGTGGATGAGCATGCAACAGAATAATCAGTTCCCAGCTGCTCAATCAGCTTGCTTTCCATCTATGGTTTCTTCAAATCCGCTCCATAATAGCCTTAGCACCGATGATCCTGCCAAATTATTGAATTTCCAATCTCCCGGGTTAGCTCCGCCGAATATGCAATTTAACAAAGCAAATACAAACCAAGTCAACCAGTTGCCTCAGACACCTATGACATGGGCCCAACAGCAGCAAACACTACAGCAATTGCAACGACATCAACAACAACAACAGCAGCCTCCGCCTCAGCCTCAGCCGCAGCCACTGCAGCAGGAGCAGCAACAACAAAAAGGACAACAGACGCTACCACCGCAGCAGCTGCAACAGCAGGCATTCATTCCGTCTCAAGTAAATAATGGAATCATCGCCTCTACCCAGATCCCAAATCAAAATTTGCATCAGCCGGCTGTTTACTCGCAGCTTCAGCAGCAGCAATTGCTGACGAGCAATAGCCAGTCTGCTCAAACCATCCTCTCGGCCAATAAAACTTCATATCCTTTGTCGTCATTACCGCAAGATACACAGATTCAGCAACAGATGGAACAGCAAACTAACCTCATACAGAGACAACAACAACAGTTGCAGCAGTCATCACTACAATCGTTGCAACAGAACTTGTCGCAGAGTACACAGCAGCAGCCGCAGATGCTGCAATTGCCTCAGCAGGGATTCTCGGAGCAACAGCTTCAATTACAACTGTTACAGAAATTGCAGCAACAGAAACAGCAGCAATCATCTCAACAGTTACTCTCCCCTGCTGGATCACTGTTGCAGCAACAGCCGACCCATCAACAAAACCAACCGTTGCAGCAATTGCCTCTTTCACAGAGCCAATCACAACCTCTCGGAAGCAATGGCTTCTCGGCATCAATGCTTGTCCAGCCTCAACAACTTTCGGTGAACCAACCTCAAGTTCATAACAAGCCTCTTACTGCTATGAGAACCCATTCTGGTCTTACTGATGGAGATGCACCTTCATGTTCGACCTCTCCTTCTACCAATAATTGCCAGGTTTCCCCATTGAACTTCCTGAACAAAAACCAGCAAGTACCGTCCATGTTGGTGACGGATCCACTTGTTGAGCCTGCAAGTACCCTCGTTCAAGAGCTACAGAGCAAGCCTGATATAAGAATCAAACATGAACTGCCCACCTCTAGAGGACCAGAACTGTCAAAGTACAAAAGTAATCAATTAGAAGCATCCTCTTCCGGAACATCATACTGCCTGGATGCAGGAACAACCCATCATAATTTCTCCCTCCCTACCTTTCTGGAAGGTGATGATCAATCACATCATCGGAACAATCTTCCATTTACAGCTAATATTGATGGATTGGAACCTGACACTTTGTTATCGAGGGGATACGACTCTCAAAAGGATCTTCAAAATCTGCTTTCCAGCTATGGTGGCCACCCAAGAGATATTGATACAGAGTTGTCTACTCCTGCAATAAGCTCTCAGTCGTTTGGTGTGCCAAACATACCTTTCAAGACTGGGCGTTCTAATGATGTCGCCATCAATGACACAGGAGTCCTAAATGGCGGATTATGGGCCAACCAAACTCAACGCATGCGAACATATACAAAGGTATGTAACCATAACCCCAATGATTATGGTTATGCATGTTACCGGTTTTATTCTAGATACAAATTTGACATCTAGATTTCCTGTTGCAATTACAAGTTCCTCGGTCGTCTAAATCTACGAATAATCCTTCCCTCATTATAACATGGTCAATTGTGTGTCTGCCTTTCGCTGAAAACTCTAATGTATGGTGCTGGTTTTAAATAAATGAAGGTGCAAAAGCGTGGCTCCGTAGGAAGATCAATTGACGTGACCCGCTACAAAGGGTATGATGAACTCAGGCATGATTTAGCTCGCATGTTTGGCATCGAGGGGCAGCTGGAAGATCCACAAAGCTCTGACTGGAAATTAGTTTATGTGGATCATGAAAACGACATATTACTTGTTGGCGACGATCCTTGGGAGTAAGTGAAGAACCCCAATTTGAACTCCTTTTAACATTTACATTCGGTATCGATGCATCCTCATCTGAATTTCTAATTCCTTTGCAGAGAATTCGTAAGTTGTGTTCAAAGCATAAAGATACTGTCATCTGCTGAGGTACAGCAGATGAGCTTGGATGGTGATCTTGGAAATGTGGCAGTTCCCAATCAAGCTTGCAGCGGGACCTACAGCGGAAACGCATGGAGAGGACCATACGACGATACCTTGGCTGCTTCATTTAACAGATAAAAAGGTTTTGAAATTCTGATAGAACAATGATTCGATAACGTATATTCATCTGTTGGGAGGAAGATGATTGTTTAATAAACTTTTAACAGCAACTCTCTGACTTGACCTTTGTATGGTGCCATAAGGGACCATTGATGTACAACCATTATATTGATAGAGCTGATCTGATTTTCTTCTTTTCTCCTGTAAATGGATATGATGTAAGAACACATCCTATGTCTTGTACAAGTTAGCATGAATTTTTGTCGCAGTCGCACGTCGCAACCGATGCTTCCTTTTACCTGTTTTCGGCTATCGTCGATGATGAAATACGGTATGGTTCGTCACATGGAGGGGCAAAACACTCGACTCAAATATGATAAACATGGAGCTGGACTTGTTTTGAAGTTGATTGATAAGTTGAACAACCTCACGTGAGGCAAAGCCAAGGTAGAGAGATTTAGAGATCGTGCATGACGTAAAGCATAAGCGCGTGTGTCAGATGGTATGTAATGGTCCCAATGGGCGCTTTGGACACCTCGGTTCATTGTCTATTTTGGATGGCGATGCTTTGTTTCTTTACGTTGGATTATAAAATTATGTGTTTAATACTTAAATTATTAGTTTTGATCAATTTAAATATCTAAACTTTTAAAACTTAACTCAATCCGAGTTTAAAGTGAATCCACTCGACCCGAAACCTTACATGACTTTTGAGATAAAACCCTATTATGATCTAAAAGAATATAAAATTATTAATTTATTTAATAAATATGAACTTAATTGAAAAATAATATAAAGAACGTCACTCTTGCAATTTTTCCTAAATATATAAGGTATTTTTATATTATTTTTTGGGTCGAATCAGGTCAAATTTTTTTACCTTGAACTTGACCCGAACTTATTCTCTATTTTTATATTTTCTATAATTTTTAGGAAAAGATTTCACCAAATTGTAGCATATAAAATTGATTTTGTGGTTCAGCCGTGCATGCAAGTGGTGTTAACTAGTGTAGCGACATGTCTATATGGTTTTAAAAATCCCCTAATAAACAAGTCTCTGCCTTGTCCTTTTCCTTTACTATTTTATTTTTAAACTAAAAAATGGTAAATTATAAATTTTATCACTGAACATTGCTCTCTCTCTCATATTTTACTCACTAAACTTTAAAAGTTTTCACTTAGGGTCTGTTTGTTTCCCGTAATTGGAATTACGGAATTGGTTTTTCCCGAATTCCCGTGTTTATTTCACGTAATTCGTTTTCCGGAAAATGTTTTCCCGTGTTTGTTTCACGTAATTCGTTTTCCGGAAAACGTTTTCCCGTGTTTGTTTCACGTAATTCGTTTTTCGGAATGTAATTCATTTTCCTAGTAACAGAATTTCCTTTGTGTTTTCTGTAAAATGACTTACGGATTCATTTTCCATAAGTCATTTTTTCGAACTTTTCACTTCAAAGCAAAAATACTCAAAATAATTTTATTTTATGAATTTAATATTAATAAAATATTTTAATATCATTTTCATCAAAATTTTAATTATTAAAATATTTAAAATATATTTATTAATATTTATAATAATATAATATTATATTTTTAATATTATATATAAAATAATCAATTATATTATAATAATATAAGATATTATATTTTTATTTTAATAATATATAATAAATTTTTTTATATATTTAATAATGAATAATATTATTTATATATTTCAATAATATTTTAGTAAAGATATTAAAATTTACTAATTAATATTTTTAAAATATAATATAGTACTATTACTTTAATAAATAATTAATATAATTTATAAAATTTTATTTCACTAAAATATACCGAAAAAATGTTTAAATAACATCTTCCAAACATCATAAAACGTTTTCCAGATGTTTTCCAGAAATGTAATTCATTTTCCAGAAATGTAATTCATTTTACAGAAATGTAATTCATTTTCCAGAATTCAAATTCCAGTAATTCATTTTCTAGTAATTCAAATTCCAGTAATTCAAATTCCAGTAATTCATTTTCTGGAAAACCAATTACAGCTAAACAAACAGACCCTTAATACATTAGGGTTTTTATCACTGAATTTTACTCTCTCCTACTTTGATCACACCGTCGTTAAATAGCTAACGGTGTTAAATGGGATTGTAAACGAGAGGAGACAAATCGTGAGCTACTCGAGATCGACTCGGTCAACGCTCGATAAATACTCTACTCGAGTTTTTAATGAGCCGAAACGAACTACTTGATACTCGACTCAGAAAGCTTGAGAGCATCTCGAAAAAAATTATATATTAAAATTTTATTTTTTTAAATATATTAATAATATTAACACTTATGTGTTTACTTTTTTAAAAAATGTATTATAATGTTTTCATGTACTTAAATTTCAGGTTTGAATTTGAGCTTCAACCGAATTAAGTTTAAGATTTTTTTAATTTCGAGCTTTGACGAGCTTCAATTCATGATTTCAAGTTTGAGTCGAGTTTGAAAATTTTAGACTCGTAAGTTTTCGAATCAAGTAGAGCTCATCGATACTCAACTTGAACATAATACTCGAGCCATTTTGGAAAAATAAAATTTTCACCAAAACAAAGTCTTTTGTACCTATATAACTGTTCATTTTAACGTCGTTAACTATTTAACGTCCGAGTGACAAAAAAACCTAATGTATTATGTTCAGTGAAGAAATTAAAAAGATTTAAATACAGTGAGTGAAATATGAGAGAGAGTGAAGTTTAGTTATCAAATTTGTAATTTACCCAATAAAAAATAGTTAAGTAGTTCTAGATGTGGAATTTATGCACGTGAAATAAAAAGCGCCACGTGGTGGAAATATCACCTGGGACAACCTCCGAACGCGTAGCGACGCTAGAAAGGGCCTTTGACAATGCGCCACGTCGGCATCGTGAAACGCTTTTCGGCTGCCAAACGCTATATCAAACGCGTCTCTTCGTCTTTGACTGCTCACTCTAAGTCAGAAACCATGGCTTCCCCCTTGTAGCTATAAATAAGCCGCAAATTCTCCCTGTTTTCTCTGTATCCAAACAACAAAGATAATCAAATTATCTGCAGCCAGGAATCAAAAATAAAAACAAACAAACAAACAGAAAGAAAACTCAAGATTGCCAAACAATGGTGAAACACATAAGCGAAAAGCCTGCTGCCGAGAGAACCGAATCGAAGTTCAAGGGCGTTCGCAAGCGGAAATGGGGGAAATGGGTATCGGAAATCAGACTGCCAAACAGCAGGGAAAGGATTTGGTTGGGATCTTACGACTCAGCCGAGAAAGCAGCCCGCGCTTTCGACGCCGCTCTTTTTTGTCTACGCGGCCGTTCCGCCAAATTCAATTTCCCCGATAACCCACCCGAGATTGCCGGCGGCAGGTCTTTGACGCGGCCCCAAATCCAAGCCGCCGCAGCCCGGTTCGCTAAATCAGAATCTCCGATCGGGTTATCGGAGGAATCCAACACTCAAACGGAATCCCCATCGCCGTCGGTCTCGGACACAGAGTTGCCCATGGACGAGTCGTTTCGGGATCTCATGACAACCGGGTCAAGCAATTTCGGGTACATATTCCCAGAATTCGATGATTTCTCAAGTGGTTTTCTCGGATCATCGTTGCCCAGCATCGGATATGAAGAGGAGAATTTTGATGGGATCTTTGTTCCAGAATCTTTTCTTTGGGATTTCTGAAAACGGGTCGACCTGGGCATTTTAGTATCCAGAGTTGGATCCGGATATTTGGCGGGTCTAATTTTGTACAGCCCAGCCTTTTTGCTCATTCATAGAAAGATCAAATCATTACTAGAAATGTATTTTAATCCTTATGACGAATGTAAATTAGAGCTTATATATATATATATATATATTATTTTTGTAATTTATTTAGCAATTGGTATATTTTTATTTTATTAATATTTAACTTAAACAACTAAAACCGAACCGGTGGTCTCCGTGGTAAAATAATTTTTTGTTATTCCTTGATGATTTGGAATCGAGCACTGTAGATACCAAGAGTTTGAGCGTTCAATATTAAAAGGTTGAAATTTTATCTTTGAACAGATATCGTATGTACTTACCCATATTAATAAAAAAATTAATATACTTACTATATATATATATATATATAAAATTTTTTAAATCAATTCAATATTTATATAATGTGGATCTAAAGTAATATATTTATTTATATGTACATTTAATAATTAACAAGATTTTATCTAAAATAAATATTCTTAATTTACTTAAAATTTGACTAGAATAATCTATGTGAATATAACATTAAATTTAATAATTATTTTATTAAAATATTAATCATATAAAAATGTAGGGTAAAGTACACAAATTATCCCTGACTATAAGATATTGTTTTATTGAATCTTTTGACTATTAAAAGTTACAAAATGGCCACTTGACTATTTGTTATATTCCAAACTCGTCATTTTTCGTTAAAAAAATTACGGTCATTTGAGTTGGACGTTAGCATGCTGAATGATATATGAGTCGTTTGAGAATATGAGATCATATTTTATCATATCTCGGTCAACAAGTTAGCCTACAACTTAGACTACCGTCAATTTTGTAACGGAAAAGGGCGAGTTTTGAATATAATGAATAATCCAGTGATCGTATTATAACTTTTAATAGTTAAGGGACTAAAAAAAAACTTCCTATAGTTAGAAGACTATTTTGTAACTGTTAATAGTCGAGTGACTTAATAAAGCAATATTTTATAGTCAATGTACTATTTATATACTTTACCCAAAAATTTATAAATGTATAAAACTCAATTTATATTTTAATACAAGTGCATTCCTCTCTTACTTATGATATAAGAAAAAATTAAAAAATACTTAAGCAAATTTTAAATCTAATAATAAAAACTAAATTTAATTTTTTAACCATTTTTTATACAAATAATTAATTACTTTTATGAACAATTACTACCTAAGAAGACAAGGAGAATTTTAAATTTAATCATATTATTTTTATTATTGATCAATTAAAATAATCACAATTTAAAAAATAATAATAATAAGGAAATATTATTTTTATTAATATCTCCTCCAAATTAAAAAAAATAAGTAAAGAAAATTCTTGCACCTTACAAGGAAAAATTAATTTAAAAAAATCCAGCCGGAAATGTTAAGAATACAAGGAAAAAGACATTTCCGTACCATGCATGCATGCACAGCTCATGTCATATAGTGATGAGAAGAAGAAAAACCCCAAACGCCGGTCACTAGCATGGCTTGCCGGGGCTGCAGGTAAGTGCACCGGAGTAATGAACGATGAGGGGCACTTTATGGCCCGACATAAATTTTATCGTTTTCTCAGGCGCGAACTTCTTGATGGCGTCTGGACTCCCTGATTGGATAAAGATGGCGCCGTTCAACAACACATCGCCGTCCGATCTCCAGTCCCAGCACTTCCACACTTCCGGTGCCGTAAACTCCCTCTTCAACACCTCTTTGGCCGCGATGTTCCGTGGAGCTCTGAACCGGTTGCCTTGTGAGATGATCGTGGGGTGGCTGCTGCCGCCGATGGCGTACATGTTCCAGAAAGTGTAGTCGTTGTTGACGACGTGGACGAAGCCAAATCGAGCTCTCGGCATTCTCTGTACAAGATTTTTGCCGAAACGGTTGAACGCGACGGTGACCTGCATCTTCTCGTCCTGCGTGTAGCTGTCGCTTGATCCGAACAACATCACGTCGTTGTGATCGGTGATATGACAATTAGAGATGGTGATGGCGGTGCTACCCTGAATGATGTCGATGATGCCGTCGGAGCATTTGTAAATCGAAAGATGGTCGAGCCAAATGTTGGTTGCTCCGAAAATGGAAACCCCATCGCCGTCGCTCCTCGTCCTCAACCCGATGTGATTGGCGCCGTCCTGAATCAGCCCGCCTTTCCCCGGAATAATGTGGTGGATATGGATGTTATGGATGATAACGTTCTTGATAAACTGGATGGTAAAACTAGCCCCATAAGCAATATGCACATTAGCTCCCCGACCATCGATCGTTTTATCGCACGTCATAATGAGCTCCTCCTTCAGTCTGATGATCATCCCCCTCGAGAAGATGATCCAAAGCGGCACGTTCCGGGTGACGGCGTGACGTAAAGTCCCCGGCGCCGGGTTAATAACATCATCGGAACAATTTGTCACGACGTAAATTTCTCCATTCTTTCCGCCGGTCACACCACGTCCGAATCCAAGAGCGCAATCAGCCAGCCTCTTCCTATTCTTTTCCCAGTTAGGATCACACCGCCAACACTGGTCGATCGGGTTGGTCGCCTCACACTTAGTCTCTCGTCTCTTCCTCCCCAACCTCGCCAACGACCGCCTCGACGTGGCCGTGCCGTTAGAACCGAGCTCCGTCAACGTGGCGGCGACACGGTCGTTCAGATGATTCGTAACCTCCTCCGGTCTGGGATTATACTCTCTTTCCAGATTCTCTTTTGCCTGCAATTCACGTTCCCTCCAGTAATCATCGTACTCGGCGATGTGAGCCTGCGGTGTCGGGATTATTACAACAAACAACAAACACAACAAACATAAACTAAAACCTTGGTTCCCCGTAGCGGCAGCCATGATTACAGCCCTTGTTGTCCTCAGGCTTTGATTGTTCAAGTCCTGTCGAGAAAGGAGCAAGAAATACAAGTTTTATTTGATACTATACAAAGAATTTCCAGGCCAAAGTCCTGCACACAATTTATTCGATTGCAACAAGACCCTGACCGGAGATAAGCCAAGCCAAGCCAAGCCAATAGCAATGAGATACTCACGTCGATGCTCATCTAATATAGGGTGCAATCCGCTACTAATACGCCGAGGCGGTTAAGGTCTTTCCATGGTTCAGAAATTTAAGGTCTTGGCTTGCGTCTTCCTCGCTATTTGCTTTCTAAGCAGTTTTCACAAAGTTTTAGTCTTTAAAATATAGGGTAAAGTACACAAATGGTCCCTCGACAATTATGAGTTACAAAATAATCCTCCGACTATAGAGTGTTGCTTTGTGGAATCCCTCGACTATTGAAAGTTACACAAAACTCACCCGACCGTTCATTATGTTCCAAAATCGTCTTCTTCCATTAAAAAAATTGATGGTTGTTAAGTTGGACTTTAACATGATGACTAGGATGTAATAGTTGTTAAAAATTCTGGGATCAAATTTTATTATATCATAGTTGGCAAGTTAACGTTCATCTCAGAATGCCGTCAATTTTTTAATGGAAAAGGACGAGTTTGTAACATAATGAATAGTCGGGTGACCATTTTGTAACTTGTGATAGTCGAGGGACTCAACAAAGCAACACTCTATAGTCGGATGATCATTTTGTAACTTAATAAAACAATACTCTATAGTTGAGGGACCATTCGTGTACTTTATCCTAAAATATATTCCTTGTTACTAAATATGAATTTAGGTATGATCTTAATTCTAAGAGTTAATTACATCATATATCCCTAAACTATAACTCTTTTAAATTGATCATTAAACTTTTAAATATTCCAATTTCATCCCCAAACAATAACTCTTATTCTAAATTTATCCTTAAACTTTTAAATATATTAATTTCATCCTTAAACTATGACATTTTTCTAAATTGGTCCCTAAACTTTTGAAATTTCCAATTTCATCCCAAATGCATCCAAATATATAATTATTTTTGAACATAATTTAACCTAAATTTTGGGGACTAATTTAGAATGGATATCATAGTTTGGGATAAAATTGAAATATTTAAAAGTTTAATGACTAATTTAGAATGATAGTCATAGATTAGGGATGAAATTATAACATTTAAAATGAGAGACATACTTTGAAGATATGTGATGCAATTAACTCGAATTTTTTAAATCTTAGCAAAGTCATATAATGGCATAAAAATTATTTAAAAAATGAGAGCATTTCTTAAGTAAAATGATTCATATGAAAGTTTTTTTATTCATGTGGTCAAAGCATGAACACTGTAAAAGTTCAAGGACAATCAAAACAATTCATCTTAAAATAAATATAATTAATAATTTGACTTTTAGTTTTTTCAAAATCATACTTAATATTTAATTTTTTTTATTTTAGTACCTCATTGTTAAAATCTTAATGCATTTAGTACCCAAATTTTCAGTTTTAGTCTATTTTAATACCTAAACTTTCAATTGTTTTCAAAATGTAACGTTAAATTTTGAACGAGGGTACTGAAATGAAATAAAAAATAAACTTTAAGTATGATTTAAAAAAAAATAAAAGTTTAAGTATTAAAATAAAAAATAACTAATAGTTTAAGTACTAAATCCATAATTTATCCTATTAATCAATAAAGTAGATTATACAAAATTTTAACTATATTTTCATCTAAAAAATCAAAACAAAAATACACTATAAGACCAAATCGAATCAATTTTTTATTAATCTATAATAAGTATAAGATAATGTCTGTTTAAAGATAATTTTTAATTTTTGGATATTGAATATTCATACCTGATATTTATGATGCTTGAACCCAGATTTTTAAAAAATAACAATAATTCTTTTATTACATAGACCACTTGGTATATGTTAATTGAATCAATTTTTTTAGAGTGAATATATATATATATATCATGTTTTACGGGCTAAAGTGCCGAGGTAATGCATGTGGAATGTTTATTTCCTAAAATAATGCAGTCACACGATTAATTCTTCAAATGGGGTGAATGCTACAGGATTACATGCAGTACTTGAGATCTCTAGGCGTCTTCAGAGTTGATCAAATTTATCGGCGTCTCCAGCTTTGCTGATCTCCTCCTCTGTGAAAGAAACTTGAAGCTGTTGGCAACATTTTTCAGCTCTTGGTGGTCAATTGCACCATTTGAATCATCATCTACAAAACAAAACACAATACAACCGTCTCAAATCATAACAGAAATGAATTGGGGAAGAAAGGGGGCATACCAAACTGCTCAAAAATAGCTTTGCACTTCCTTAAGTTCTCATCGATTTTAGGTAATTTTAAGATTACGGTGTTGAAGGATTTCATTGCAGTTCCTGTAGATGCCCTTCGCTTCATGGCTTCAACCAGTTTAGCTTCTAGTTTTGTTTCAAATGATCTGTCGTTTTCGGTTTCGCCTCCCATTTCCAACCAAAAAAACAAATGGAAAATGATGGGAGTTTAAAAGCAAAGCTGGATCCTTTTAGTGTTCTGGCCCACATGCAACAACATCAAAGTTTCAGGTCCCATGCAGCAGCAGCAAAGCTGAAGACACCGAAAAATCTTCTCTAACCATGAAGACGCCGAAAGATCCCAAACATTACATGTAATCTTGTAACATTCATCACATAAACATTACATGTAATCTTGTAGCATTCATCACATTTGAAGAATTAATCGTTGACTGCATTACTTTGAGAAATAAACATTCACTTTAGCCCATGTTTTACGTTAACCTATAAGATGTTGTATGTTTCGACCAATTAGACATCATGGTTTTATCCAAAAATCTCTGCTTTCTTCTTGTTGTTCTTTGTGTGTTCATCTTGTTCCTTTGAGCGCGTGGGATATCAGCCATTCATATTATCTTGGTGGGAGTCTAACTTGAACCGCTTCGCAGAGTGAGGCGCGTGCTTATCAATACCTGCCCGAAAAACGCCAATATTCTAGAAGTCTCTAAATCAAGTGATAAAGCCCATTTAACAGTAGGGTTTTTATCTTCTCAGACTGCTCCAGTTTCAAGCAACTAAACGAACCCTTATCCTTTTCCATTATCTTTCTCAAAGGTATGATCTTTGCTGTTCTTCCTCTTTAAAAAGCCTGGGTTTTTGTTCTTAAGAAAATTTGGTTTACAAAGGGTTGGATTTTGTTTAATTTTCGGGGAAATTTGAATGCAGAAATGGCTGCTTCTCAGCTAACGACGTTTTCACTCACAGCACCAGCGAAGAACTTGGCTTCATTTGAGGGGCTTAGGCCGTCCACTGTGAAATTCGCTTCCTTTGGAACATTAAAGCCCGGGGCTTTGTCCCACAGGTCCTTTAAAGGTTTGGTTGTTAGAGCTGCTACCGTTGTTGCCCCAAAGGTAATTCAATTCCTCTTGTTGTTCGACGAATACTCGAATGCTGTTGTGTTGTTGGACTGATTCTGTTTAGGAATTATGGGGTTTTGGAGTATGTCGATGTATTGCCTTGATTGTATGCATTTTTATGTTTTAAATACGTTAAAGATGTATGAGACTTGGCATGGATTTGTTGCTATCGGCTTATTTTAACTGCGAAAATCGAGTAATCTATTGTGAATAGGCGGAGCGAAGGTGATTGTTTGTTCTCTGCTATGTGCAGTATACTTCAATTAAGCCCTTGGGTGATAGAGTGTTGGTGAAGATCAAAGAAGCAGAGCAGAAGACTGAGGGTGGAATTTTGCTTCCAACAACTGCTCAATCGAAGCCTCAAGGAGGTGAGGTCGTCGATGTTGGCGAAGGGAAGACTGTTGGGAAGACCAAAGCGGAAAGCTCTGTGGAGGTGAATTTCATGGATGAGATACGCTTCCGAGCTCTTTTTCTCTTTGTTTTTTTCGTTATTGTACTTATCCTACACTGTGTTTGTATTAGACTGGAGCTCAGGTCATATATTCCAAGTATGCCGGGACGGAGATCGAGTTCAATGGTGCAAATCATCTACTCCTAAAGGAGGATGACATTGTTGGAATTCTTGAAACGGATGACATCAAAGATCTCAAGCCTTTGAACAACAGAGTTTTCATTAAGGTCCGCTTTCTTTAAAAATATGCATGTTTGGTTGTCATCCCAATCTCCTGTTGAAGTTTCAATTATTAATGTGAGGAATCATGAGTTCGTTTTTATTTGGTTGAATTGACGAAGAATCAGTTTCTTTCTCATTCCCAAAGTGTGAGGATGACCTTCCCTTGTAATTTAGTATATCTTGCGATACTGTAGTGATAGACGAATGTGGCTCTCCTTTACAGTCTATTAATTTCCGATGCATCTTTGATCACCATTGACAAGTGATCCTTACACTGGTAACCGACAGAAGAAAGTAATGAGTTGGGCATTAGTCCATGGTAATTGACTTCAAAGCACTCAATGTCGTGTTTGAATTTTGATGCAGGTTTCGGAAGCTGAGGATAAAACCGCTGGAGGTTTGTTGCTGACTGAGGCAACCAAGGAAAAACCTTCCATTGGCACGGTGAGTAACAGTATTGGGAATACAGCATAATTACTATGTTGTGAAATGTGGTACTTATGCCATGAACTAAATGAAACAGGTGATAGCGGTTGGACCCGGTACCTTAGATGAGGAAGGTAACCTGAAATCATTATCAGTCACACCGGGAAACACAGTCCTGTATTCAAAGTATGCCGGGAATGACTTCAAGGGCAACGATGGTAGTGATTATATTGCTCTGAGAGAGCCTGAAATAATGGCTGTACTCTCTTAGTTGTCTAGTGAGATTGTGCTTTAGGTTTTTTAAGCTAAAACTGGATTCTAAGGATGAGTTGCTTCAAAGCACATGGATTTTGTAATTTTTCCCCTTGAATACAAATGGTTGCAGCCTTTTGTAAGAAATGGCTTGTCAATAACATGCTTAGCTTCTATTCTCCACCACTCAACTGGGGTTTTGATTTTTCTTTTGATCATTTCCTAGTTATGTCAAGGACGAGGAGACGACGTCCGATGATCGGAAAATTGTCTGAGCTCTTGGTTTCCGGCAAAAAAACCCGGATTCTTTAGGGATGCTGCTACAAGCCCCATGAGACCATTAGATATCAAAACCCCATCGCCAAGAGGTATGAAGAGATGAGATGATTTAGATATGATTTAGTTAGCCAAGGAATGAGTTTAGTACACAAGATGAGGGTACAAACAGAGAATTTAGCTGTCCAGCCAAAAAACAAAAGAAAAAGGCAACAGCAGACGCATCCTACAGTTTCTCCCCGTGAAGCAATTTTAGGAGCAGGATCCCTCCGATTACTGGTAGTACATAAGCTGCTGGGTTGTTGCAACGTGTTGGTATCCACCGTCGTAGATTGCTTGACCAGCTGCAGCAGCACCCATTCCCATGGCTGCCTGCTTAAGGGTGTGTTGACCCTGTGGATGCATCATACTCATTAGCTGTGCACCACTATATTTACTCATTGCCATCTGCCGTTCATAGGCAGCAAGGTCGGCAGCTGAAACAACAGTAGAGCTTGTTCCTGGTGCAGTAGGTTTGCTACCCCATGAGCACCGCAGAATTTAAGCATTTTGTAGGTCATGCCACCAAAAATTAAATTTGTACCAACCATAATTATAGCGAATCTAGAAGCTTGTCCGGCAAAAACACTCGTACCAACAACTCCACACCAGAATGGATGAGGGTCGTCTGTGACATCAATTTATCAATACAAGTATGGTAATTGAACCACATTAAAAACCATAGCTACTGCAAAATCTGAGGTTGGGTTTCAACACTGAAGGATGGCCTTACCAGAGGTTCTATTTGTCGGCTCTACAACACTTTTGGCATCCGAATTTAGTTTCTCATCATTTGGAGTGGCACCTTTTGCAGCCCAGTGAAGTGACCAGTGTACCTGCTGGTCCCTGAAAGAAACAAAGCCAAAACCTCTTGAACGCCCAGTTTTTTTGATCCCACATGACCCTTGCATCCCTGCGCAAGGTATGTCTTTCAGTCAGCTATCCTACTAGTTGAACGTTGATTACCCCGAAACCCCTTTAATTGATAAGAGGTAATCTCAATGTAAAATGAGAAGCATCGACACTCACGAGCAAATAGAGTACACAGAAAAGCATGCAAACAAAGTAGAATCTGTAACTTCAGGACTAAGGTCACCAACAAAAATGTTGTGATGGGATAGAACTCGTCGGTGGATATCTAGAGACCTGATGTATCCTCCCTCTGACTACTAGCATATGCCCAATTAACTTTGCCTATATTGGACATGAACACTCGTTACCAGGGATTTAAATAGTAGCCGGATAGCGGTATAGCGGCCACTATATTGAGATCGTGGCGGCATCCGAGACCGCTATTGTGAAAAATAGTGGTGTGAAGCGGAATCACACATAGCAGTGGCTCGCGGCCGTTATTTAACAGGTAGCGGCCAATCACGGCAATAACAGACCATTATTACGCTATTTTATTTTTGTAAAAAAAATCAGAATTCATTTAGAAAAAAATTATGACCATATATCCGCAAATGCAAAGACGGCTGTAAGTGCAATTTAAATCCATGCTCGTTACAGTAGCAAAAAGGATCACATTTACGCTACACAATTAAGCTGGCTAATTGCATCAAACTATCAAAAATTATTTTTGATTATTAAATTATTTTTTAGAAAATAAGATAAATAATAACGTGAAAGTTAAATAAATTTATTAGATTATTTTTTTCAATTAAATCGTCAAATTATTAAGATGTTATTAATAAAATCATTACGTTAATATTCAACATAAATAATAACGTGAGAGTTAAATAAATTTATATAATAATACTTTTGATTTTTCTTACTTGTACATATATATCAATTTAATAAGATAAATTTATTTAACTACCAAGATATAAGTAAGACCACAAATATAATTATATAAACGTACTTAACTATCATGTCATTATTTTCGTTAAATGTTGATAATTTAGTGGTCTAATTGAAAAATAATAGTTTAAAGATCAAAATAAGATTAATGATAAATTACACATTTAATATTTAAACTATCAGTTTTAGTCCGTTTTAATATCTAAATTTTTAATATTTTTAAATCATATCTGAAGTTTAGTTTTTATTTCATTATAATACCCCTATTCAAAATTAATGTTAAGTTTTGAATTTTTTTGAAAGTTTAGGTACTAAAACAGACAAAAACTTATAGTTTAGGTACTAAATGCATTAAATTTTTAACGGTGGGTACTAAAATAAAACAAAAATTAAACGTTAGGTATGATTTTGAAAAAAATGAAAGTTTAGATACTAAAATTGATCAAAATTGATGGTTTAGATACTAAATGTGTAGTTTACCCTAGAATTAATATCATAGTTTAGTGAATATTTGGATAGTTTACCTTTAATTTTCTTTCCCATGGCTAATAAGATTGGAGATTAAATTACAAAAGGGTATAGTATAGTAGAGGCCACTAAACTATACCCAAATGATATTTTAAGCCATTAATCTTTAAAAATTATAAAACAGCCATTAATTTATCAAACTATTAAATCACCACAACATTACGAAATGATCATTAAATTATGAATCATGAATTTGAAATAGGGATGGCAACGGGCCGGGTATTGGTCCCGTCCCCGTCCCTGTTTAAAAAACCCATACCCGTCCCGCTTAAAAAACCATGAGGATTTAAACGGGGATCCCCATCGGGTAATCGGGGAAAACCGCAGGGAAACGGGTATCCCCGTTTAGCATAAACGATTATTTAAATGAGTTTCGGGCTGGGTATCGGGTAATTGGGGGCGGAGATTACTAAACCCGTCCCGTCCCCGTTTAACATAAACGGTTTTTCTCCGTCTCCGTTTAGCATAAACAATTTTTTCCCGTCCCCGTTTAATTCGATTTTCGGTTTTCCCTATCGGGTTCGAATTTTTTTACCTTCCCTAATTTAAAACACTCAACTTAAATTGAGGACTAATAATAACCCTCATAAAAAAAGAATTCGACTCAACTCGACTCAAACTATTACGGGAATCGAGCAGCCAAACCGAGCCATGATTCGTCGTTGACAGGCTTGGAAGGCGATGCTTCCGGGTTACTTATCTAGTATGGTGCTCTTGTAGTGATCCTGTAAATTTTATCATACAAGGACATCAAACACAGACAGACACAGGGGGACATGAACTTGTTAATAAACACTGCATCTGCTGCAACTTTATTAAGGTCTTATTTCGATGGATACAACGGCCGACGGTCGATTCCGACCGGAATCGACTCGAATCCTAAACATTCTCGAACTTTACTACGAAATCAGATATAATCAAGGACACAAAGAATTGAGTCTAAATCACTATGTCAAAAGCAAATTACAAAGGTTTTTACAGTATAGTTTGCTTTATTTGATCTCTAGGTGCCTACCTATCCTTTCTCTTCGCCAGGAACCGGTGGAGTGAAGCTCTCCTTGCAATCGGTAAATGTGAACCGCGAAGTGGAGAATTAGGCTTACCGCCGGCGGGAATCGGCGGCTGAGCAGATCGCAGGCAATCTTGCGTTACGGTGTTGCCAGCTAAAAGCATGATTTCGTTAGCTTTATCGGCGGGGAAATCGTTGAAGACAATCATTTGTCCACCGTAAAAGATGGTCATCTGTGCAGTTTGAGGCTCCGTCGTCATAGCCGGATTGTTCAAGGCGGCGATACTAGAATCAACCCTTTTCGGTCCATCGTCCGGTGACGGAAAACCGGCTTGATTAGGGAAGAAATCCATCGATCTCGGTTTCCGAGTCGCCGCCACGACGTTGAGGACACAATCATCACCGGACTTCTCATTGACTGGAAACAAATTCATGGTTCTCCCTGCAACATATCCATAAACAAGACTACAATTTAGACTCAAAACAGGGCATGAAAATCTCAAGATCAAAACTTGAAAAATTAGGAAATGAAGAACTTACCATCAGCTTCAACGTTGCACGTCATTCCCAGATTCAGATCACCAAAGCTACCTTTTTCCTTCAAGTACTGGCTCAAAAGGCTACATGTTTGCGCGAAGCTTGACTTCTCCGGTGACTGAACCGGTTTCCGACCCATGAATTCCGGCGAACAAGACATCTTCAGGCAAAACAGAACACAAAGATTTCACCCCTTCTGCTCTTTTGGGTTTTCAGGGATTCTTTACAACTTTACTTAGCAAACTAAATCAAGAAGCAAGAGATTTTATTCATATGAAAAGACCGAAACTGGCTTTTTATTGTCGTCTTTGAAAGGAGAAAGGTAGAAGAAGGTGGGCTAAAAAAGCACGAGGAATAAATGGAATTTTATTTACACGTGTTGTTTTTCTTTTGGTGTCGACGACGGCGATGTTTGATCAGTTTGTGGTCTTTTTTTTCTAACACGTTTTCAATATTTTTAAGACGACTTTTAATATTTGAGGTGCATTTAACTTGTTGTTACGTACTTTCGAGATAATATGAGTATTGATTTTTTTGATTTTTTCATCCTTTGATCTTTATCGTTAATTGTGTGATGAATCTGAAATTAAATTATGTTGGTTGATTTATTATTTTTTATAGTCCACTATTCAAAATGATCATGCGTCACCTGAGATATGTCTCGTTAGCTCGTTCTTTAAGTTTTTAACGGTAAATAATAAAATGATACAAAAATTAACTGTTAAGTATGATTTTAAAAAAATTAAAAATTTAAGTACTAAAATTGATAAAAACTGATAGTTTAATAACTAAATGAGTAGTTTATCAAAAAAAAATCCAAAATGGCGTTTAAAATAACAGCATTCGGCGTGCCTTTCCTTTTACGAGCCGTCCTGCAGATGCGAGAGCCACAATTTAAAATCACCGCCTTCGCTTCGCTTCTCATCCTTGAATCTCAAAACAGGTAAACGGCAAGCGCACGTTCTTTCCTCCAATAATATTTTGACACGTTAAAATCAGTTTTCTTATAAAATGGGTAAATTACGCATTTAGTACCTAAATATTCATTTTTCAAAATTATACCTAATATTCAGTTTTTGTTTCATTTTAGTACTATATCATTAAAAACTTAACGAGTGGTCTCATTGTTCGCCCTATATACAACCTCCAATTGTCGTATCCGTCGATCAATGAAGCCTAAACTTTAGAGCTCACACTTTTTTTGACTCCATAAACGTGATTCAACATCCGTTTCACTGAAAAATACCTCAATCTCTCCAAATCGACGATGAACTTTTTGACTTCTTCATCCTCTAATCTCCGTCGTCAACTGTCCAATGGGCCTGAAACTGGACTATATTGGTCAACTCGTCATTCTTTTGGAGTCCATCGTTCGGATTTGTAGTCCGTCCACCGGAGCTTTGCCCTGTTAACCCGACCGTTAAGTTTTTAACGATGAGGTATTAAAATGAAACAAAAACTAAATATTAGATATTATTTTAAAAAAAATTAGGTACTAAAATGGATCAAAATTGATAGTATAGGTGTTAAATATGTAGTTTACCCAAAACTTATAGGCTTAAACTAAAAAAATACATTTTTTTATCAAAATAAGTCTTTAAACTATTACATGTAACCAAATTAAGCATCTTAATTATTTTTTGATCAAAATAAGTCCCTAAACCATATATCCTTTTTTTCTTTAAACCCCTAAAGACAAATACCTAATTTTATGTGACATGCCAATATCTTATTAGTCGAAAAAGTAAATTATAATTGAAAAAATATTAGGACTTAAAATAATTAAATATAGTAATCTAAGTATTTAGTTGGACAGAAAATAGTTTAGGTACCTAAAACAAAAAAAAAATCAATTTAAGTACTTATTTTTACTTTTAAGCTAAAAATATATAAAAAGTTGAGGTAAACTTATTAAGTGACTTAGGTTGTAAAATGTAGTGTTGTTTTTCTAAAATATTTGGATTTAATTAGCTATATTTACAAAATGTGTATAAAAATAAACGAGTGAACTTGTAAAATTTTAGAAAATAAAAATAAAATATCAATATAAATTATAAAAAAATAATAAAAATATATCACTTAGTGTCCATTTACATGTCCTCTCAAAAATTAAGAACTTTAGTAGGAGGATTTACAGTAATATAATTATCGTTAGTCTTAAACAGATATCGTTATTAAAATTCAAGACATCCGGAGAGATTAATATTCGATTTTATCACTTGATAGATTAAATTAATATTTTTTATTACAAACGAATAAAAATGATTAAATCATAAAATTACATAGATAAGAATCAAATTATATTTTTATAATCATAAGGTGTTTAGAGTTTAAGATTTAATATTTAAGGTTTAAAGTTATTTACGAGCACAATTACTTGAACTTATGATTTCTGGAGAGAAAAACGCTAACCGATAATTCTACTCGTATGCATATCGCGAGTTTATTTTTCATGTTTCGAGTTAAATCGAATATAGAAACCCGGTCCGACCCATGTACACGTGTGGTGGGAGATTCTTCGCTTATTTTGGTGGACCGTTTCAATGAAACGTTGGGAGCTTATAATTCAGCCACGTGGAGCTTATAGTTCCTTCTTCAACCCAACTAATATAATTATATATATATTATAAAACGACGCAGCGGTAATGTATCGAACGGTGGTGAATCGCAACCTTCTTAGCGGAGGAGGACGCCGCCTCCTCCTTCACCCTGATATGAGAACAGTCATTGTCTCCTCTCGGTTTTCCACCACAACAGAAAGTCAACCGATTCCTAATCGAGCCCATAATCCACCTGATTCTTCCACGTCATCGTCTTCTTCGACGGGTTTCCAGCAATCATCCGTGGCTGGGGATGTTCCGCGTCATGATAGGAAGAACCCGAGAGCCGAGTACGAAGGGGAGCAAGCTCGGGTTCTTCAAGCCTCACTACGACACGTCGTCCGTACATCGATTAATTCTGTGATAATATACTATTTTGAAACTATATTATCGTTTATGGTTTTCTTAGAGTTAAGAAATTGTTTATTTTTCTTGTTAAAATGTTTTCTCAATCCTTTGTAGGCACATCCGTTGAATGTTTCAACAAGTTTTAAGCAGCGGGCAATGCTGGTTGATGAAATCTGGCATGCAGCCGGTGATGAGACTTCCGATCTAGATTTGTATGTGAAGCGCACTGTTCTTGGGGGGATATACTCAACAACAGAGATTTACATGCTGACCGACAGCTCCCCAGGTTCGTTTCCTTTACCTTCATCTTCATGTGCTCAGAACTATGGTGTTAGGGATTAGGTATTTAGGTGTATGCACCTTTATAATTTCTTCAGTGACCTTGTAGAGATGCAATGTTTATATATCATTTCATTTACTTATCATTTCCTTGCAGAGTTCCGGGATACATGTCTGTTCTTGGATAATCGAGTGAAAGATGCTTTCGATTTGAAGAAGACAATTCAGGAGGTAGTTCTGCTTCCTCTTTTTTCTTCTGTACGTATGGGAAAAATTGGAATCTTAATGAAGTGACATAATGCAGGCAAAGTATTTGGCAGAAGCTGTTGGTGCTGGAATGGTTAGCTCTTTGCAGGGTTTTGTTGGTAAAGAGCTTCAGAGATAAAAGCTCGAGTCAAGACAGTTCTTTATAATTGTACGACTCGCTTCAGATACGAGATTACGCTCGATGAGCTATAAAAACTAGTAGCTATCAAGCTTAGTATTTATCACTTGGCACAAGCTGTTAAGTTTAGGTTTCATAACAAGTTTATAGCAGGGCTTTAGTGCATCAACCACGATCCTTGATTCATCTCCTTGGCAATTGATTGAACATAAATTTGTAGATGCAAGCGTAGTTATCATTTGTTAACAGGATACTGTTGCTTCACAATTTATATGAGACTATATTTACTTATAATAAAGCATCTTTTGGTTGTTTACAGTCCTATTGCTGAAACTTGTCTTTGTATCGCACTCTGATTTGAAGAACCTAATATATAGCTATTGCACGTATAGTTATTGACATGCTATGGAGGTAAGCAGAAATCATCTCTTATTAAGACGGCTCAAAACAGCATACCAGCTCTCCTATTAAGACCACGTTCTCCCCCACGGAATACATATAGACCTAAGGGGATGTCACAGTACGAATCTCCGACAATAACTCTCTCGCAAGCACCGTCTAGAACAACATTAGCTGAAAACATAGAAGGGTGGACACTGGACATCACAGATTATAATCCGAAGAAACCAAGAAAGAAGATAAGACCTTAGCAAGGAATAAGATCAGGACAAACTACCGAATTGATCGAAAGACCGCAGTAATCCCAAAAGCTTCCGGCCATCTCTCAGCACGACAAGGAGTTTCTCTATAAAATATATAAAGCACAGATAAGTAACTAAACAACTGTTGCAAAGTGAAACCAAAGCATTCAAGGGAATCCAAAGAACACGAAAGGACAAATGTCAGCAACATCTCCATGAAACACCTTGTGCAAGAGCATTAACATGTCTCAATAACACAAATCTGATTAGGAACAAATGTCGGATTGCAACACAGCAAAGGGGATTTTCATTCACTGTTATCCGAACAATTCAATTCAGAAACTCCAAAATATAAAACTTCAAAGCTTGTAACTTTAGACATGCCTGTTGCAAAGTGAAACCAAAGCATTCAAGGAAATCCAAAGAACACGAAAGGACAAATGTCAGCAACATCTGCATGAAACACCTTGAGCAAGAGCATTAACATGTCTCAATAACACAAATCTGATTAGGAACACATGTCAGATTGCAACACAGCAAAGGGGATTTTCATTCAATGTTATCCGAACAATTCAATTCAGAAACTCCAAAATATAAAACTTCAAAGCTTGTAACTTTAGACATGCAGCACAAAACCAGCTCTCTCAGTTGAAACAGAAATTGGAAAACACAGAAAATCCAAGAACATGAAAGGACAGAACTCCACAAATGGAAAGAACCCATCGCAGTAAAGTGCACAAAACAGGGAATCAACTGGATCAAACAGTGTTATCAAACAAACCCAAACCTAAAATCGAAGAAAAGGTAAAAAGAACAAAAAATTGCACATAATAAATCAAATAACTCAATTGCATTGGCCTAGGGATTACAGTCACGATAGATGGCGGGAGAAGTGGAGAGAAAGATATCATCAGGATCAGCCCACGACATGGAAATTAGTCTTCTTTAATACTTCAATCCCAAATCCCCAAACAAATAGCACTGGCTGGAAGAGAAGGATTTAAATAAAAACCCTAGCTTTTTTTTACTAAAACAAATTATGGGAAGCTTTAAAAAGAATGGAAAGAGAGAGCCTTCGATGGATCAATCAACCATTCTTTATTTTATTTTAATTTTGTTCATATTGATTAATTAATGTTAAAAACTCAACTCCTTTGACCTTGGACAGCTAAATAATGTTTTAATTTTTAGAGAAAATAATTTTAATGACCAAAAATGTCTTATAATATACGATTTTAATCAATTTTTTTTGAATTTGCCAAAATGGCCAACTAAATCGTAATGCGGTCGATAATTCGCAACGCGATCTTCAGTATCGCAAATCAGTTTTCAGATTCGCAACGCGAACTTTGACTATCGCATTGCGATTTACATATTCGCATTGCGATAGTCCAAGTTCGCGTTGCGATAGTTGAAGTTCGCGTTGCGATTTTCCAAATTCGTTGCGATAGTCGAAGTTCGCGTTGCGATTTATTCCAAATTCGTTGCGATAGTCCAAGTTCGCGTTGCGATTTATTCCAAGTTCGTTGCGATAGTCGAAGTTCGTGTTGCGATTTATTCCAAGTTCGTTGCGATAGTCGAAGTTCGCGTTACGATTTATTCCAAATTCGTTGCGATAGTCCAAAATCGCAACGACTGGTGGTATTGCATTTGTTTCTTAATAATTTTCTCTAAAAAATATAGTATTCGCGCGGTCGTGTCGAAGACACGTATTACCACGACCACGACCACGAGACGAGACGGCGGCGGCGCGGCGCGCGAGAGTCCCCCTTGTTCTCTATCACTCAACAAGGAAGTGGGAAAGCCAAGCCTTAAATACCATTCCCAATAGTGTTTCCAATACTATATGAGATTGAGCATTACCAACACTTGTTCCCAATACTATGTGGGATTGAGCCTTAAATAATGATATTATTTTTGAATGTTTTGCTTAAAATTGCAATAATCACGATTGATTGTAGATTGACTTTTAATTATGACATATTTAATCGTATAATACTAATGCAATTGGTTGTTGATTCAGTTGTTTTAAGGTGCATGATTGTTAATTGTTTCCTGAATAATCACATTGTATTGGAAACAAGTGTTGGTAATGCTCAATCCCACATAGTATCCCACATAGTATTGGAAACACTATTGGGAATTGTATTTAAGGCTTGGCTTTTCCACTTCCTTGTTGAGTGATAGAGAACAAGGGGGACTCTCGTGTGCCGCCGTCGCCGCGTCTCGTGGTCGTGGTCGTGGTAATACGTGTCTTCGACACGTCCGCGCGAATACTATCTTTTTAGAAAAAATTCTTACGAAACAAATGCAATACCATCAGTCATTGCGATTTTGGACTATCGCAACGAATTTGGAATAAATCGCAACGCGAACTTGGACTATCGCAACGAATTTGGAATAAATCGCAACGCGAACTTAGACTATCGCAACGAATTTGGAATAAATCGCAACGCAAACTTCGACTATCGCAATGAATTTGGAAAATCGCAACGCGAACTTCGACTATCGCAACGAATTTGGAATAAATCGCAACGCGAACTTCGACTATCGCAACGAATTTGGAAAATCGCAACATGAACTTCGACTATCGCAACGAATTTAAAAAATCGCAACGCGAACTTCGACTATCGCAACGCGAACTTGGACTATCGCAATGCGAATATGTAAATCGCATTGCGATAGTCCAAGTTCGCGTTGCGATAGTCGAAGTTCGCGTTGCGAATCTGGAAACTGATTTGCGATACCGGAGATCGCGTTGCGAATTATCGATCGCATTATGATTTAGTTGGTCATTTTGGCAAGTCCAAAAAAAATTGGTTAAAATCGTATATTATAAGACATTTTTTGTCACTGAAGTTATTTTCTCTAATTTTTAATAGTAAAATTTAATAAAATAACATTCCTAGAATATAATTTTCTATCTGTTAATAGTTAAAGACTTAATAAAGTAGTATAGTTAAAATTAGATGATTATTTATGTACTTTATCTTATTTTATAATAATTTGATGAGAAAATCTGGCCCGACGTACGTGTCATGGAATAAAGGATGTAACTTTGTACGTGGCAGCATGGCGAGCAAAGATAGGCAAAGTCCCCACTCTAAACTCTAACCGGCAACGGCAACGGCAACGGCAACGGCAACGGCATCCCCTTCGTATCATCCATTATCCATTTCATCAACTCTGCTTAACTTTCAAAGCTTCATTCCAGATTTCTAATTTCCATGGCCTCTTCTTTACTGGGTTTCAGGTGCAGCTAAAACTAGGTTTATGATGGTCACCAAATAAGCTTCTGTGTATATGTATATACATATATGTATGTATGTATAAACTGGATGAATTAGGGATGGCAAGCGGCAGTAGCAATGTCGTTTTAGCATATGAAGATGAATATACAGATCTTCACCGTCCGGCAGTGATCATCAGAGGATCCTTTGCACTTGCAGCTGTGGTTCTCTCTCTTTTTCTCGTTCTTCAGCATCTCAGATCGTACACTAATCCTGCTGTAAGCAAATTTATCTCTCTAATATGTACGTTACTCGGTACTGCTGTTGATTGTTTGATTTTCCAGGAACAAAAATGTATTGTTGCGATTGTGGTCATGGTTCCTGTCTATGCTACTGAGTCTGTAAGTTTGTCATCTCTTTTTTGTGTTTGCGTTATTGGATATTGGTCCAGCAAATCTGGTAGCCGTTTTCGACATCAGCTGACCGGCAAGGTACTATCATTGTTTCGGATGAGCACGGATCGATATTGTATCGTGTTCTTTAGACTGTTTTACCCCCATGAAATGGTATAGCATAGTTGCAAAATGGAGGGATTCCCTCTAAGATTTTGAGCTCGAGAGATGCACTGTAGGAAGATGATAATGTCGATTACTCGAATTGTGCTCGATCACGATGCTGGCTAAATGCAACACACCGTGTTCAGATATGCCAGACATTGTGAGCACGGATATCAGTATGCTTCTCTTTGAATGTCTCACATCTCCTTGAGATTTTGTCATCCTAAAAGGATTCCCTTTCCTGAATTCGAATTCGAGAGGAGCTTTCGGGACAATAAAGCCTTCAAGGGCTTATGGATGTCCAAAAAGGACAATCCTAAGTTGTAGGAACGAAACTAGGATCAAATATCGAGAGGGGTCAAATTGCTAACTTCAAAGCTTAATGTTATATTTATTCAAACATACCTGTACGGGATATATCCATATATATCCAATATTCCTTCCTTACTTGGAGGCAATGTGATGTCCCCTTTTCTTCGATTTCGGCAGATTATGTCGTTGGGGAACACTCGATTCTCCCTCGCCTGTGATGTTTTGAGAAGTTGCTACGAAGCTTTTGCTGTATATTCTTTCGGAAGCTATTTGATTGCTTGTATAGGTACGTAGGTAAGCACCATTTTATTATGACTCGTATGCTTCGATATTAACTTGATTACTTCACCAAACATGCTTCATTTAAGCATAAGAAAGTTTGTGTCAGGTGGTGAAAGAAGAGTTATTCAGCTTCTCGAAAACGAATCTATAAAGCAGCTGGTTAAGCCATTGCTAGAAAGAGAAGAACAACAAGAAGAAATACATCAGAAGTCATTCAGCAACTTCTTCTTCCGTCCGTCTCTCATCGGGAAAGACTTGCTCACGATAGAAAATTTCGGTCTCGTCCAATATGTAAGGCGTGGTAATATTTCTATGACTATCATTTGATTATGTTTGTGACGTTTTCGTTGAATGTGATATCTGCTGGCTAACTCAGATGATTCTAAAGACAATCTGCGCATTGTTAATACTGTTATTGGAGGTCTTTGGTGTTTACGGTGACGGGGAATTCAAATGGTTCTATGGGTATGTATGATGGCCTTTTGTACAATCCTTTATCGAGTATATAAGCATTCGAATGCCGAATGCGGATTTACGAATCTAACTCCTTGTACCTTTCTGCTCTCTTGCAAGTACCCATATATAACAGTAGTTATGAACTTCAGTCAAATGTGGGCACTATATTGCCTTGTGCAGTTCTATGATGTAACTCATGAAAGGCTTAGACCCATAAGGCCACTAGCAATGTTTATAAGCTTCAAAGCCATTGTCTTTGCCACCTGGTGGCAAGTAGGCATTGCTCTTCTTTGTGCATATGGGGTTCTGCCCAAAGAAGGGAAAGTGTGGACTGCGTTGCAAGACTTTTTGATTTGTATCGAAGTAAGTCGTTTGCGGTGCACATCTCCATTCGAACTTTTTGCACCTTTGGACAATACTCGGCATGATATATTTGTGGTTGGCAGATGGCAATTGCAGCGGTTGCTCATATATTTGTCTTCTCCACTGAACATTACCATTTTCTCCCGGTTTCCGAGAACATAAAGGAAAGGGTATCCACCGAAACGACCAAAGCACAGCAGTGAAGGTAGAACAAAACAATGAGGAAAAACCAGCTGTGCTAGAAAAAAAACAGAAACTCAGGTGGAAGCACCTGGAACAAGCAACAAAGAGAGTGTCCAAGACATAGTTGTCGAAGGTGGTCAGCGGGTAAATCGCGTTTCTTCGATGCTGCATATTAGAAAGGTGTGACAAAAATCCAGGAAACTTTCCACATGAAAACAGATGCAGATGAGGATCATGTCGAGTCCAAGCTGGACGTCGAGGAACATGTTGAACGGCATCTTCCGGAGGATGATAGTCATTCTGAGTCCCATGTCTAAGGATTGCTACTCAAGATAAGTGATAAAATTGCATGTACCATATTTCCAGTTCTGAAATAATCCATATCATTCTTCGAGTTTTCGATTTTATATACTGTGATGCAGCAAATGTGTATATTGCATGCTTCAAACTGAAGTAACATTCCAATTTTTATCATTTTACACATTATACAATTATAGGAATGCGTTTATTAGCCATCTTTGTCCAAGGGAGAACAGTTTTAAGAGCAAAATCGAAGGCAGCCGAAGCAAAAGCCCAGAGCAGAACCTAGCAGGGTTAATATTGTGGCCAAATTGATCACTTTAAAACCGTGGGAAAAGGGTCTATTACCCTTCTTCAGGGAAGCAAAGTGAGCAACATTGACAGCAGCCAATGCATGCAATAGCACCGAGTACTTGTGTACATACAATGGCACATTGATTGCTCATCTTTGAACAACATTGGATGCAGCACATGCAACAGCAACTTGCACACAGCCGAGGGCAGCAATTTGAAGTTGCCTTGTTAAGGATTTCAACTTTGGGCGGAATTTCTTTCTCGGATCCCAGACGAATGTTTTTGGTTGTTGCAATCAGATTGCCGAAACCAACTGTAAGTACTTGAAGCAACACCTTTTTAGGCTCTTCAGACTCCAAAAGTTTACATGCATCGCCTTTCTTCGATGCCTGTACTCCGTCAATCAAAAGATATGCCAGCATGACTGAGTGGATAATACTGAGGTGTCCTATGTCTATATACGATAGCTTACCTTCTGACCTCCGGCGACTTCTGCATCTGTGTCGATTTTTCTTTTATCGAGTAATACCATACGGGAATACTCAGAGATATTGCAAGTTCTTATGCTCAAATTGGCAATCTTCCATTTATAAGACAATAGCATCAGAAACGGCTGTTACTATAGGAGGAAGATGTCAAGAATACTGAGGAACAAACCTGCTCCTCGAGTTGTTTATTTTTGAAAAACCATGCTTGCGCCGTGAGTAGATCGATCTGCTGCCTCGCTATAACCTGCAAGAGAAGAATGAGATATATAGAACACTCCGAGAGAAGATCATTGAAGCTACGCAGGCAAAAACATTCAAATTGCAGCAAGTATCAGGGACCTTACTCTGTCAAGAGGTATGTCAGCTTTTTCTATCTTCAAGTCCACGATAAAACTGCTTGAATCTCCTAAGATGCCTTTAGCTTTAAGAGTGTCCGGAAAACTGCCTTGATACCTCCCGCTTATTATCAACGGGCTTTCGGATGAAAGGTCGGGAACGTGTAAAGAGTACACCTATACGGGGACATCGGAGAAGAAACACACGTTAGGCAGTGCAGATACGAGAAAAGAAAATCTATATTGGCAATATTGGGAACATGATGATTTCTAATAAGGTGTAGAGAAAATACGAACACATAAACAACACATTTTTGAACACGGGTATGGAGACATGATCCTTAAAGATAAACATACTCGTGTCCTATACATATCCGTATAGGACACTAGTATCCGTGTCGGATACATATTCATGTAGGACACTCTTATCCAAGTCTAGGTAACGTATGAGGAAAAATGTCACAGATAATGAAACTTATAAAAGCACTCAAACACTTACCTCTATTTGTCCATGATCATCAGCTGCATCAATGGTTATATTTGCAAGAACAGTGGATAAACTTTTACTAAACAGTTTTTGCATCTGAGGCTCGATTGAATCTGACAAAAAAGATGGGCATATTAGTAAAATCAATGATATATGACCTATTTCCACGGTTTACTTGATTAAGGAGCTTGAAGTCGAAATACATACAAACCTAGATCAAAAGCAGCACCGTATTGTCCCTGGCTAATCATGGACAGCATGCGCAGGAAATGGTGATTGCAGAATGATCCTGCAATATCACTGAACAAGTTAACTAGAAGCTATGGTGTTCATCTGCAATTAATACTATGCTTCTAGCTGAAAACGCAGGATCTAAAAACCGAACTTATTTACCGATCCCAAAAGTATGTATCCGTGGACATAATGGCCTTCCATTTTTCACAACTTTATTCATCCACTCACAGTTTTTCCTCTCATCTTCAACGGCCCCATCGGTAACAAGAAAAACCATAGGAATTGAACCTTTCCTGTCTGACAGCATATAAACTGCCTGACAAAAGTAAGCAAAATATAAAAGCTGCATTTCCTATTCTCTTGAACCAGTACGGAAAACATGAAGTTTAATGGAAGGAAAAAAAATGAGACGTGTAAAGTGTAAACACCTTTTGAAGTGGAATAAAGATATTTGTACCAGCCCCTTCACTATGGTCCTTGGCTATCCAGTCAGAGGCCCTTTCGACTTCTTCATCGGAAGCCGACACCATGGATGTGCTAAATAGGAAGGTCTCATCACAAAAAGCTATGATGTTAAATGAATCTTGTGGACTGAGCTTGGAAAGGGCTGTGTTTATTGCATTCTTGGCACTCTCAAACGACTTCCCTTGCATGCTGCCACTTATGTCAACAACAAATATGACATCCTTTCTGAATACCTATAAATCCAACAGGACGAAGATAGATACCAAAAAGAAGAATCAAACGTAGAAGCCAAGGCAGGAAACAAATGCTAAACCAACCTTTGTATTGCTCTGACTTCCAGGGAAAAGATAAATACAGAACATATCCCTTTGATCCAAGTCATCTATTGATGGAGACTGGAAAAGGGCACCTCCAAATATGTTACTGGAAGAAACCTATGAAGTTGTAAACAACCAGATGAAACCAGAAGCGTCTGATGTAAGTAGCATCACTTTCATGTTTCATGAAACTGTTTTGCAGTTCTACAGGAAAAGATGGTATGCAAACAGTCTGATTCAAATTCTTACGCTATATGATAAATTCAAGTCAGTTTCGGTCCATGTGAGAACATTTGCTTCATATAAGAAACCAATCCCCCCTGTCTCATGTCTCAATTCCTGAAATGTTGAAGAGGTGAACTGAACAATAAGTAGAATAAAAGGATAGTAAAAAAGAATATCATTAATGGTCCTTAATCAAATATGCACCTTGAAAGGATGACTAGTCGCCTGGACCATTCCAGTTGCAAAACCAGAGTGTACATTCAATTGTATCTTCTCTTTTCTTGCAATTTTCTTTATAGAAGGATTAACAAACTCAGGGAAACTGAAGGGCACAGCCAAAGTTAACTGGCCGTCATTATATGTCAATTTCTGAGACCAGTGAAGCTTAATTGAAATAAAAGTACCACCATCGATCTGGAAATATAAAGCAAACATTCATTAGATAGAAACAGTAGGCTAATCCTTTGCTCAGTGGAGTGAAATCATTATAACTTTGAGACATTGATGCACCTTTGGTATTGTTATGGTAAATATTTGGGAATTCACAAACTCTCCATCTTCTGGTTTGGCTGTTTTTTGAATTCCCTTACTTTCTTCTACTCCAATCAGTTGGGAGGAATATGATTTTGTAGGAAGATCAACCTCAACACCTAGAATTGAACCCTGTTAGCCACTTGACGCCATTAATAAGCACTCCAAACACCAGATTTAACCAAAATAAACACACATCAAGACAAAATCAATTCGTTCCCATATAGCAAATTAAACAGAGCTTCATTAGCCGAATACATGATCTTGTTAAGGGAACCGACCTGGTCACCCATCGGGACTGCGATGCGACAATCACAAGAACGGCTAGCCATAACGCAATGAACCCTCCACGACCCAGAAACTCGAACAAAAGCCGTATCGCCATAACAATCGACGTCGAGATCGACGGCGTTCATCTGGAGGGGAATCAACGCGGGTGGATCCAGCCTCCCGTGCACGTGGGGTTGGTAGCTCGGGATGTCCGGATTGTCGACGATCCTCGGGTCGGATATGACCGCGTAAACCATCGGCGCCGATGGCAAGTAAACGTGCGGTGACTTCTGCATTGGTGGCAGTGGCTTCGGTGGCGCCACCGCCCTGTCTTTCCCTAAGTATATCCGTTTCCCTAGCTTTAGCCCGTCCTCCACCGCCTTTGCAAAATCCTCCGCCATTGTTTAACGTGAAGTTTAAACCCACAAAAAAAAAAAAAAACTCTTTCGACCTCTTCTTCTTCTTTACGTTAGAAAAAGAAAGGGATTGTTTTAGACAGCAAGGAACGGAGAAATTCAGCTTCGTTGGGATCTGGGATTACTCGGGTGATTGGGTTCTTGGTCTCAGAAATGATTTGGTTTTCATTTTTTGAGAGAAAACAATAAGCCTATTTTTATCAATAATTATTTTGTAGTAACACGTAATAAAACTAATGCATGCAGCAAGCTTAACTCCATAACCGATTCAGACTAAACTTCGTCAACTTAACCCTAGATTAGCATTTCTGTGAATATCTTAGGGTTAAACTATGAGCTTAATACCTAAACTATCAAGTTTGATCCGTTTTAATATCTAAACTTCTGATTTTTTTCAAAACTATACTTATTAAAGTTTTGTTTTGTTTTATTTTAGTACCCGTTCAAAATTTAACGTTAGGTTTTAAAAAAATTAAAATTTTAGGTACTAAACGGACGAAAACGGACCAATACTTGATTATTGGGGTTTTTATCGACCATATAAATGAGAAGGTTCACCCTTTAAGGATTGTTTTTGAAAAACATTTTTAGTTCATCAACATTTTATTTTATCACTATTTTCGGTTGATAAATTCTATTCATAATTTGTTCAATGATTGTTTCTGTTAATTGAATTCGTCTCAATTGTTAATTTCTTGTTTCGCAACGATAATTTAACGATAAAATTTTATTTTAAATAATTACTTTTAAATTTTTAACTAATTTATAATTATACGTTGAGTCCTTTAAAATATTATTTTTTTATAAATTAAACTAATGGTGTTCAATGGTACTCATCGTTAATTGGATTAACTAGTCAGTTTTTATAAAGTATAATAACTGAAATTTAACAAATTAAAGGTAGAGGGACTAACTTTTTCAATTTCAATAAAGTAAATGGACGGATTTCACAATTACACCAAGACATTTCTGCCAGATAAGTATATCTCAAACGGGGGGACTACGAATATACGATGGTCTGGCGAAGCAGAAGATAAAACTTACCGTATCTTAAATTCCCAAAGGTAGTTATTTTAGTTATGACCAACTACCAACGGCTATAATTCAGTGCATTATCTTTTATACATCTCTTTCTCTAATATCCAACCGTATATCATTCCCCCTCCCTTTGGTGCTATTTTTCTATCCGTTCTTCCTCGGCGGCACCGGAAGTACCTAGTTTCGGGCTAAATTTACTCCGATGCTTCATCCGGTCATGATCGGAAAGTTTAAGCTCAAAACAAGAATTGATATACATGAACAACCACCACAATTTGTGGTTATACAACACAAATGAGCATTGGATCGACATGGAAGTCTTGCCACGGAAGATGCGGTTAGAGGATGCCGTCAAGAGTATGTTCAAATAATGATAGGAACAGGCAGCAGTTTCGTGTCTCGGGTCATGCTGCAAGGATTCTTCATTTAGTAACGACCGACCGTGTTGGATTAGATTTGTGCAAAGAGGATTTCCTTCCATGTGTCGGGAACACCGGGCAAACACCACTGCAGGCAGTCTTGGACTCCTGGCGCTGATGTAACAATGAAATGGGATATGTGTCCCTCATCTCGCACCTGAGGCAAAGCTTTTATGTCGAGAAGCTTAACCCCTGTCCCTCTCATGGCACTGGCAGCGATAGGATCATTGGACTCTTCTTGTAATACTTCTTTACCTATGGACATTGGTGCAGTATTGATGCAGCTCCCTCCTGTGTGCCAACCCCCATTCACGAAATGCCTAGTGGAGGTGCTCCGATAAAAGGCATTCAAACGAGGATGCTTCGAAAACTGAGAGTCCAGCCATTTCACAGTGTTGTGGATTGTAAAATTCTTGGCACGTCCAATATCTGCTAACATCCGGCTGGTGTTGGGTACACCCCCAAGATACATGACCCACCTGTTAGCCCTGAGTTTCCCTCGATTCCAATGGTGTCCCGTGTTGAGAACCAGGACATCAATTTTGTGCAGAAACTGGCGCAGAAATGACGGAGGCCGATCAAGATGCATTGCATACTCTGTTTGTGGGTCCTTGACATTAAAAGGTTCTAATTCACAGAGGCTTGATGACCAATAGTAAAGGACGGTAGTATTGGTTCTGAGAACCCGGTAAGCCCAACCATCACGACGTACACCACCAGGCGGTATGACAAGTCCATACTCGCTGCCCACATCGAGTAATATCACTCCCCTATCTAATTCAATAAAAAACATTCAGAAATGTCTGAGGGATGGAGGCCTAATTTAAGGTTAATGTTGCCTCCAACCGAAAATGTTATGCCTTTTATAACATTTTCGGTGGTTGCGTCTCTTCCCTGCCGTTCCTTGGCCCTAAATTAGGGTGCGCTATGGCAGAACTTCCCAAAACATTATGGTAACCAAAATTACACTACGGAGAGCCATTTTCCGGAGAATCAACAAAGCTAAGCCAAACAAGCTTGATTCAATTATCCACCGTCCACCGCGTTTCTTGATTCTCTAACCACGCCTTTAATCATAAACGATTAGCCTCGTGACCTAAAATCGAAATAGACAGTCTTAATGCCCATTAAAATAATAACACGAAGAGAACCGAATCAAAAGAAATCACAATCTACATTAATGTCGGCAGGATTGTGATCCGTACTCAAGATCAAACGGCTCTGATCTATTGAAAACGACGGCCACCATCTATATTTTCTAGTGAAATAACCACCAGAATGTGGCCATCATTTACGGTGGTCGAAGGTGACTAGAATGAAAAAAATTGAAGAAGAAAAGGAAAAAGTGTAAATTACACAATGAGTCACTAAACTTTATTTTCTTTTTAATTTTATTCACCAAAACGACGTCGTTTTGATGTCCATGTCACGTCATAACGCCGTTAAATAATTAACGGAAGAGTAAGCAAAATGATTTAATTTATAAAATTGAGTGATTAAATTGATTAAATTAAGTGAAAAATGTTGTAATTTACCCTTTTAAAAAATTGAAGTACTCTATTTTGGACAAATAAATCAGTTTTCTTCATCTGTGAGTTAACTCGAAAGAGTCCTATTTCGTTCTTGGGGAAGAAGCTTTCTCTTCTAATTAAGATTCGGTGCATCCACAACACCAAAAACAACAGAAAGAAAAACAAAACAGTTCCAAAGAAACAAGAGAGGAAATGAGTCGAGGAAGTGGAGGCGGATACGATCGCCATATTACCATCTTCTCTCCCGAAGGTCGTCTATTCCAAGTCGGTATGTGTAGATATATATATTCGCTCTATTAGCTTACTTTTGTAATTGATTCTTATAAATGGATTTGACCCAATTTTGATTTTGTAATGAATTGAGCAGAGTATGCGTTTAAGGCAGTGAAAGCTGCTGGGATCACATCGATTGGTGTTCGAGGAAAAGATTCAGTCTGTGTTGTTACTCAGAAGAAAGTTCCTGCAAGTTCTCTCTTTGATTTTTTTTCTGGGTTTCCTTTTTTGGGGTTATTTAAGGGGTTTTGGCGATTTGGGTGTTTAATTTTTGAGTAATGCAATGCAGGACAAGCTTTTGGATCAGACTAGTGTCAGTCATCTTTTCCCTATTACTAAGTTCCTTGGATTGTTGGCTACTGGCATGACAGGTTTGGTTTCTTCAGATACCATTTTTATTTGATGTTGTTTGTTCGAACTGATAAGATTTTGTTACGTTGACTACTGAAATTAGGGTTTGGGGATTTTAAGGATTATGGGTTAATGTAGTTAATTTCAAGCTTATAATCAGCCTAAACTAGGGTTGGATTTTTTTTTTCTCCAAAATTTTATCCAAGGTATGAAAGGTTTAGAAATGTCCATTAGAATTTAGAACAGAATGGTTTTCTTAATAGATTAACCCTGGCATTCACATAATGATCAGCTTTATTTCGACAATTTGCTTGCCTATCTTTAGCATAGAACTCAAATATAGTTTTGACGACTACATTAGATTAATGCTCAAGGTTAAATTTTCTTTACCGTTATGCAAATACTTTGAGAGGGATGCTTTGCTAATTGGCGTTGTCGCTCTGCAGCTGATGCAAGGACCTTAGTTCAGCAGGCAAGGAATGAAGCAGCTGAGTTTCGGTTCAGATATGGATATGAGATGCCTGTGGATGTATTGTCCAAATGGTTTGTTTTCTTATATCTTCTTCAGTTGAAATTTCTGATGTTTAATTGTGTTCCTGTTGGTGTCTGTTGTATGTATAGAGTTCTTCTAGAGAATTTTTGAACTTTGAACAAATTTAGTGACATCAATAACGGTCATTTGGATATAAGCTGGGTGTAAGTTTATGCCCTTCTATGTTTCCGTGTAGAAATTGGGAAAATTTTTCGACCCTGATTCTTTAATTGCTCTTCTTTACATCAAGATTGCAGGCAATGTATTCTATTTTTGTAGCTCATGAATATAATCTTGGTTCAAAAACCAGTAACTGGCTACGTGTTATGTTACTATTATTTTGAATTATTCATTGATTTCTCTTGGACATTTGGGGTTCTTTTGGATTTCAATGATCATACAGCTTATTTAGAATAACATGCTTTATTGATGTAGGATTGCCGACAAATCACAGGTTTACACTCAACATGCTTATATGAGACCTCTTGGAGTTGGTACGTGTATTTATTCTTCAAAATCTTACAACTGTGGCTTTGTTTTTTATTATTTGTACCTGTCACAGTAGATTTACAATTTTTCAGTTCGTTAACACATGTAAGCTGATAAATGCTAATGTATTTACGAGTAACTTTCTCAAATTTTGCCTGTTAATACCTTTCTACAATTTTCTGTGAAGTTGCTATGGTTTTGGGTATTGATGAAGAGAAGGGACCCCAACTCTACAAGTGTGATCCAGCCGGCCATTTTTATGGTCACAAGGTAGTTTTCAAATTATTTTTTATCGCTCATTGAGTTTGAATCCTTGACTTTGGTTCCATACACCTGGTTCTGGAAGCATATTGTATTATCATAATAATGATTCATTGCTATTTTCGCTTCTAGTTCTCTTTGACTTATCATCTGCAGGACCTTTATTTGCATTATGAAGGTAGTAATGTACTTGCAGAAGGTTTTTTTTCCCTTTTTGTTTACAATTTGTTTATGATAATGAAAGACCGCAAAACCATCCAAACAAAGTTCTTCAAATGGGAATTATCCAATAATCTTGTACCTGGCTATTCGGTACCCTTCCTATTATGGGTCTTTACTGCCACGAGTTCATGATACTAACTATTTCATTTTCTTTTCCCCTCTCTTTAGGCATGAAAGTAGCGTGCTTGTTCTCCAATCTGAACTGATTGGTGCAATAACATGATTCAAAATTATTTTGACTAATTTTAGGATAAGCATTTGGACTGTGGGATGAATTTTGACTGACTGATATGCTGCAGGCAACCAGTGCTGGATCAAAAAGAGCAAGAGGCGATTAATTTCTTGGAAAAGAAGATGAAGAATGACCCTGCTTTTACTTATGAGGAAACAGTGCAGGTATTTATATTTCATTTTTGCGATGTACGGTAAAGGAAGTTTCCAAAGATCACATGTTTAACATTATTAGCTAAAGTAATCACATTTATCTAATGGTTCCTATTACTACTCTTCTGCAGACTGCCATTTCGGCTCTGCAATCTGTTCTTCAAGAGGATTTCAAGGCTACTGAGATAGAGGTACGATGAGTCAGCTGGTCCTTCTAGTTGTTAGTGGTTACAGTATTTAGTATCCGTCCTTTGTAACTTTGCAACTATCTAAATGTTTGAATGATTAATTCTCATTGGTGATTTTCTCGTGTCTAATAAATATTCTCCGAAGATAAACTATATAATTAACACATGTTTGATTAAAGGAAACACCAATAGGCAGTAGTCGAGTGCTAGCTGATTAAAGCAGCCCAGTAGGGGGTTGTCCAGACATTTGGAGCGCACCACAGGCATGTACACACCAGTAGTTAAAAGACCTATAAGAAACTTACATTTTCGATGTGGATTTGAAAAAAAATCTCAAGGGAGTTGTCCGGATATGCGGAATGCATCACACCTGTTTTTACATTTTTAGCCAAAGGGACGCACCACTGTTAAAAGCTAGCCTGCTTTCAGCCTACTAGACACCCGCACACAATGCCAATGTGGATCCGGAAACAACCCACTACCGGGATATCCTTTGTTGGTTTGATAGGCTGCTTATGATCTAGTCTCACTCTAGCTTAGTTGTTTTTGTTTCTCTAATATAAAATGCATAAATATGTTCCCAATAATCGCAGAATCTGAAGATATTGTAGTTTCACCTCTATTTGAACTGTAGTTGGCATTAACATCTTCTGATGCTCGGCAGGTGGGAGTGGTGAAAGCTGATAATCCGGTTTTCAGAGTGCTGTCAACTGAGGAAATCGATGAACATTTGACAGCTATAAGCGAGCGCGACTAGTGAGCACGGACCGACACTAGCTGCTGCTGCAATGATCTTTCTGTTATCATTTGAAACAACAAACGTGCTTTAGTTGATCATCATGTTTGAAAGGGATTGGAAGAAGGTTAGAGCTTACAATTATGTCGCCTTCTATTACTGCTTCAAACTTTTAAATTAAATTCATGTTATTTCCGAGAGTTTCTCCTAGAGAAGGCAAAATGTTACTGGATAATTGTTTGAAAACACAATTGACATCAGCTACATTTAGATTACAGTTGTCCAAATTTGTTGCATGTTTGTCGATTACGATTCTAACCGGCGCTCCTGTCAATGGCTGTCGAGTTCTGGTCCACGACCATCAGTTTTTGCCCCTCTTCGGATTCTCTTAAAACCAAAAGGCCATAAATGGACTGGTTCAGATATTGTAAACTCCGAAACAAAAACCAATACTTTAAGATCCCTGTCTTAACCCGACAGTCACCACTTTTTGCTTTCGTCCTCCATTTTAGGTTTCATTCAACCAACAACAACAATTCGGACAAGACGATGATGCACATGACCTTCTACTGGGGAAAGCACGTGACTCTGCTCGTACATTCCTGGAAGACCGATTCATGGAATTACCTCATAACCTTACTCGCTTGCTCCATCTTCGCTTCCATTTATCAGTACATGGAAGCTCGATGCCTCCGCTTCAGTTCCGTCGCTTCCTCCACCGTTCCTCTCCTCCCCGATCATCGCAACTCCGCTAAATTCACGACGGCCTTGCTCTTCGGAACCAACTCGGCTGGGGGATAACTACTTATGTTGGTCATCATGTCGTTCAACGGAGGCGTTTTCTTGGCTATCGTTTTGGGACTGACTGCCGGGTACTTGCTTTTCAGGTCCGCCGATCACGAGGAGTGGCGGCGGAGAACGCTTGCGCCTGACACACCATTTTTCCTGCAGACTATTCTTTAGTTTACCAGAATTACAAGTACTTTTGGGTAAATTAGACTTTAACACCTAAAATATCAGTTTTGATCGTTTTTTTGTAAACTTCTAATTTTTTTAAAATCACATATAAAGTTTAATTTTTATTTTATTTTAATATCTTCCGTTTAAAATTTTAGTTTTTATTTTATTTTAGTATCTGTTCAAAATTTAAAATTAATTTTTTAAAAAATTAAAAATTTAATTATTAAAATGGAACAAAATTGATAGTTTATGTATTAAATGTATTAAGTTTTTAATGAAGAGTACTAAAATGAAATAAAAATTAAACTTTAAGTGTAAATTTAAAAAAAATTAAAAGTTTAGATACTAAAAACTGATTGATGTTCTAAAAAATTGTTCCTTTTCCCATAATCTTCAACTCAAATCTGCTAACTTTTTTCCTTCATCGTAAAGATGACGACTTTATTAGTTTATTTCAAATGCATGACTGCTTGATGAAGCAAACATACCCCATTTTACATGATTCTTCATTAAATTTAAGTGGCACAAGTAGAACAAAACAAAGCATTCCCAGTAGTAGACAAGCTTATCCATAGATACTTCAAACTCCTCGATCAGCACCTGGTGGATTCACCATGAATGTAATCAAAGAACAGCAACGAGTCCGAAAACGAAAGCTTGGTCGATTCCGGGTTTCACCACCACATGGTAAAGATCTTTACTTGCCATCAGCAACTCCTCTACTTCCTTCTTCACTCCGATCTGAGCGACGACGTTGCCTACGGAATCGATGATGCTGCAATCTCGATCGGGGAAATAGCCTTTGATCTCATAGTCCCACTCCTCGCCGCCGCCGGTTCCTTTCGGTTCAGTGGAGATTCTTATGGCATTGTTCTTTGCTAGACATGAACGAGGCTCCTTTAAGGTGAAAACCAGATTTTTTGATCCTTCATAGTCAAAAGTGTAGCCTTTCCATTTTTTATGCATGCTTAGTGCCTCAATTATGCCTCCCTTGAACATAAGAATCAACAACCATTAGGCTTTAACTTTAATGGACCACATCGAGTCTTGTTGATAAAAAAAATATTAGAAGAGAGCTAGGACCGTGGCTAGGTTTTCGGGGCCCTATATAAATTCTTATAAAGGGGCCCCTACTTTCTAGATATATTCGATTTTGGGGCGACAATAGTGGCATGTTTTTGACAAACGCCGCAATAGGTCCATCTATAGTAGTTTTTTTTAAATAAAAGATGCAAAAATAGTGGCATTTTTTTTAAAAAACGCCACAATAAGTCCATCTATGGTAGTTTTTTTAATAAAAGCCACAACAATAGTGGCGTTTTTTTAAAAACGTCGCAATAAGTCCATCTATAGTGGTCGTTTATTAGAAAAACGCCACTATAGATATACTTTTTTGGGGCCCCTACTTTTTGGGAGCCCTGCGCGGTCGCCCATTTCGCACCGTCCCAACCACGACACTGAAGAGAGCTTTGGATCATGTTCAAGGGTTCGGTTTAGCTCGAGTTAAGATATTGTAATCATGACATATGTGAATTGACAGGTCCACAAACCCACGTTATTAGCTGAATCTATTTAGCATGTCAACCTACAAATTGCATTACCTTTCGACGTATGAGAAGCAAAGCATCACCATTTCCATCTCTCAGAACCAGCTCCCCTTTGGTACCGAGAACGCCGCAACCGTTGACCCGGAAAACAATGAGCTGGCTACAATTAGTCACCACGAAACCGCCTCCGTTCACCGCATGTGGCCTCCTCCGAACCACAAGTACCACCTGAGAAGAACGGTGCAGCTTACTTATAACCGGCATTGTATTGCCTTTTGTCGCCATGGATATCCTTTCTATCTCTCAAACAAAGAGTTCTAAATCTCCAAGCTGTGAACTTTCTTTGGCGCTAAGCAGATGATTGACAAGACTGAGACAACCTATACTTATACTACACCTGGGGTCACTAACTATGTTCAAATAGTCGTTTTAACCGTTGGATTTTCAATATTTACAAAATAGTTATTAATTTTATCAAAATATTACGAATTTCATTGACTAAAACAATCGTTCAAACATAATTTAGTTACCTCTTATATACTTTACCCTTATTTTTTTGTATGTGTGTCGAAAGATTAGGCGAAGTTTGACTATCGGCAAGCATGTGGATTGAGTAGTTTGCTTGTGGAAGATGAGGATTGCAACGTATAAGCCAATATATAAACCTCAGCCAATGATCTTTAATGCGTACAGCACATGTTATAAATTGTTTTCTTTTGTTAAATTGTAAGTTGGTCCCTGTACTATGATTTTTGACAAATTTGCTCCCTATGGTTTGATCATTTCTGATCTCTTTACCTTTAAAGGTGTGTATTTTCAGTCCTGGAATCAACTTTATTTCATTAATCTCATCAAATAACATATCTTGTTTTTTTTTGGGGGGGGGGGGTGGGGCGAGGGGGGGGGGTAAAGTACACAAATGTCATTGAATTAAACTATGTTTAAATGATCATTTTAGTCCCCAAACTTTTAAAGTTATAAAATGGTCATTTTTTTCTCAACAAGGAATCGTTTGCATTTGTTTTTGAGCTGCAAATGAAGATTTTCAAAAAGGGTTTCTGAAACTTTTGACAAAAATGGACAGAGAAGGAATCTTGGAATACTTGAAATCTATTAACAAGTCTTCAATTATGGGTAAGCAAAAGACTTTAGGGACCATTGTTTTCCGCAACTAATTAAAGGTATCTTCTTGAAGTTAGATAACTGTTATAATTTAGGGTAAAGTATATAAATAGTTATGACAATAGGATAATGCTTTCTTGATTCTTTTGACTATTAAAAGTTACAAAATGATCCATCGACTAGAAGAGTTGCTTTATTGAGTCACTCTTGACTATTAAAAGTAACAAAATAATCACCCAACTATTTATTATGTTACAAACTCATCATTTTCTATTAAAAATTGGACGGCAGTCTGAGCTATACGTTAACCTACTGACTAAAATATGATAAAATTTGATCTCATAGTCTCAAACGACTATAAATTCTCAGTCAACATATTAACTTTCAACTCAAATGACCATTATTTTTTTAACAGAAAAGAATCGAGTTTATAACATAATGAGTAATCAAGTAATTATGTTATAACTCTCTATAGTCAAGGGACTCCATAAAGCAACTTCCTATAATTGAAAGATCGTTTCGTAACTTTTAATAGTCAATTGACTCAATAAAAAAATATCCTATAGTCGGAGGATCATTTGTTTACTTTACCCTAAATTTAACGAAGTTCGACGTTCATAAGCTCTACTCAATTATATCCGTAACCATACAACAGAAAGCATCGAAACAATAAGATTTTTCATCAATATCTGCAGATGATGGTAAATCATTTGATTTATGTTGGCAACAGAGCAATCCAAGTAAACAATAAGGTTAAATGTCACGAGCAATCTGATTAGCCGAGGAATAATATTCACATGAAAACATATTCATATGCACCCACGTTCAAAGAGAAACTAACACAAGAAAGATAATCCTCATATATTTGCCATGTCACACTCGGTGCATATCAAATGTCTATATAAGATATTACCGCAACTCGGTTGAAGAATACCGGGAAAACGTGTGTGATCGTCTGCCACGTGTGCACCCGGTAACATCGAAGATCTAGTGGCCATACTTTTGGAACTCCCATTCACTATTATCTGCATAAGCAGATTATAACAAAGACATTAACGTTATGCAGTTGAGCAAAAGTGGGTGGCAAAACATCAGTGTGAGATAAAGAGCATACCCAACGGGCATACTTGACGAGTCTTCAACCAGCGGCTGATACAGTGAAAGTGGAATGCATGGTTGCAGACCCCTATTAGAAATACAGTGTAAGTTAAGCGACGATTATTACAGGTAAGGCCATGAAATTTCAAGACCAATACAATACCAATAACAAGCAAAACAGCAAATCTGTTCATGTTGTTCAAGACACTGTTGCCCTGTCCTGATCGTTATGTTATTCTCATCCACATGCTTCAATGGTTTCTCCAAACCATGATATGAATTTTAAGAGCATTTGAACAACCAAGTAAAGATCAACATCTAATTTCTTAAGCACTTCATGCAGTGTAGTCACGGATTTACGAAGGGTTGGGATTCACCATTTTGGCTAACTTTACACAACCAGGAAAGCAAGATATACCGATATACTTATGGTACTTGGTCGAGCCCGAAAATCAAAGAAATTATCAGATAGCTTTCAGATACAAAATCACCCGGCATTTATGAACAACGTAGTCTGTTGGTAGAGTACTGGCCTCTTACATCCAGTTATCAAACCTCGACATCCTCAACATAAACAAAACAAATCAATCTGACATTTTGCTAAAATTGCACAAGCCCCAGCTTCAATAAGTAAACTATCAGACATGTTGAATTGCTTAAACTGATCTTTTTACAGAAGAACATACAAGTTATGCATCTGGATACGGATGCCACTAGGTGTAAATTACCCAAAGCAAAGCTTTAGAAAATCAAAATTGGATTAGTCAATCACCATTAACATCTTAAAAGCTATAGCATAGATATGTTCTTAGCAAAGTTAACCTAGGACTAGGGCCGTAAAAGAGCTGAGTCGAACTCGATTATTGCTTAGCTCGACTCAAAAACTCTAAAATGGAACTCGACTCGGCTTGAAAACTCACGAGTCTAAAATTTTCAAACTCAACTCAAGCTCGAAATCATGAATTGAAGCTCGAAAAAACTCAAAATAAGAAAAATCTTGATCTAACTCGGTTGAAACTTAAACTTTATATAAACCACAAGTAAATGAAAATTTTCTACTACATTTTTCTTAAAAAATAAACTCATGAATGCTAATATTATTAATAATTTATTTTTTTTAAATATAATTTTAATATATATTTTTTTTCTAGAAGTTATTCGTAAGATTCTAGAGTTGAGTATCAATTAGTTCGTTTCAACTAGTTAAATACGGTAACTGAGTCTATCTCGAGAAGCTCACGTCGTCTCATTTAGAGGCCCACCTAGGACATTATAGGGAGGGAAGGTTAACATACCCCAAGCAACAGTGCATTCCTCGCTGGTGGCGCTGGCTTGGTTAGCTTGGCATTCGATACCTGAATAATCAAATTAAATTTAACAACCGGAATTACTAAACCAATGGAAAAACAAAACAAAAAATCATAGAACGAATAAAAAAAACTATTATTCAAGATAGAAAATAAACTCACAGAGGTCCATAATGTGATTCCTGCAAATTGCACAATTATCCACCACAATATCTGCGTCCATTAAACAAATCAGGTTCAAAAGAATAATCTATTTTCAAATAGAAACTATATGTAGAGAGATTGAGGGAGTAGATTAGGATTACGCACCCCAAGCCCAAAGAGCAACAGCACTCCACTTTTTGATCTCGAATCGCTTGGGCTTCTTAGATGAGGAGGAAGGAGCGGTGGCGCTTGAAGCCTCACCGGCGGGAACCATCGGGAAATCGGAATCTAGAGCGGCCATGGCTGAGATCGAACGGGGATAGTGGGCAGATGTTTTTGCCGCAGAGCAAAGGTGGTTGCGGGCACAACGAAGACTACAATAATAAGGGTACAACAAAATAAGGGTAAACTACATCAAATACCACTTAATTTTAGGATTTGTATAAATTTTATCACAGATTTAAATAATTTTAATTTAAACACTAAATTTTAGTTTTGACTTCAATTATAGTATGATCCTTAAACCATTAACGGCAAAATTTGATGAAGTGATTGTATTTTTCCTATTAAACTTTAATTTTTGTATTGATTTTATTATTAAATTTTAATTTATCATTTTTATCCCTGCAATTATTTCGATTGCTTATATCGATCAATCATCACCATCATGGCATCATCTATGGTCGTTTGCCACCCATTACTTTTTTAGGATAAATTATACATTTAATATTAAAATTATCAGTTTTGATCTGTTTTAGTATTTTAATTTTTAATTTTTTGAAAACATACATAAATTTAGTTTTTGTTTCATTTTAGTGTCTCGTCAATAAAAAACTTTAGTTTTTGCTTTATTTTAATATCCCATTCAAAATTTAATGTTACGTTTTAAAAATATTAAAAGTTTAGGTACTAAAACGGACTAAAACTGATAGTTTAAGTACTAAAAATCTTGTATTTGAATGAATCAGGGTAAGTAATGCAATCTCCAAGGCAATCTGTGTAATTGATCCTATTTACATGTTGTTCCATAGCTTTACTAATTTATATACTCTATGCTCCCCTTGACTAGTGATGCATTGGAGAATTCGACCCGTTTTTAACGACGTCGTTTTTCGAGTGAATCGGAGACATCCTTGGTGATCTGTTCCGATGCCGCTGTCCATGACGGAGTTTGTGGCTTCTTTGATGATTCCCATCATCTTTCTTCAACTCCTTTTTGGAGTCACTTTCCTCGGTGTCCTTGTCCTCCTTCGGCGAACCACTTTCGGTTGGAACCGTGTAAACAAAGGTACCAATGTGGATATCTTCACAGTCCTGAAGTGACTCCAATGTCTGGACCACATCACACATTTTTGGTCTCTGCTTCGGCCGTTGGCCGAGGCATCGATAAGCCAATGCAGCCGCCTTTCGTGCCCCGATTTCTGAGTATTGCCCTTCGAGTCTAGGATCTATTATCCGACCAAGTTTCCGATGATCATTCAACACCGGCCTCACCCACTCTACCAAGTTCTGTTGTATTGGACTACGGTTCTTGTCTAAAGATCTCCTTCCGGTTAGAAGCTCCAAGAGTACCACTCCGAAGCTATAGACATCGTTCATAGAGGTCAAGTGACCGGTCAAGACGTATTCAGGAGCAGCATAACCTTCTGTCCCCATGACCCTTGTGGAAACATGCGTGTCATCCCCTTCCGGACCATCTTTCGCCAGGCCAAAATCCGAAAGTTTAGCATTGTAGTCGTGGTCCAAACATGGCATCAATAAACTAGAAAGATTAAGGTTACTTGAGAAAGAAGCCAAGGCTATACTTACAGAGTCTAACAAGATATTTGATGCTTTGAAATCATGGTAAATGACCGGCTTTTCTGCTTCATGGAGATAGACAAGACCCTTGGCAGCTCCAAGAGCGATTTTCATCCTCGTCGCCCATGGAAGGGAAACCGAATACCCTGCATCAAGGATGATCGACATTAGAGACTCGGGTTTCGGGTTTCGGGTTTTAAGTTTAGGCTTACAGAGAAAAAGAACGTACTTCTAAAAAGTTGATTCTCTAAGCTGCCTCTAGGCATATATTCATACACCAGCACCCTATTTTCTTCTTCGCAACAATATCCGATCAGCTTCACCAGATGCGGGTGCCTCAATTGTGCAAGAAAGATCACTTCAGTCTGCTCAAGAACCAAGCAAGCATTCATCATTAGCGTTGAGTAAATGATCGGGGTTCGAGTAATTGCGTCTATATATACTCACCAGCCACTCTCTATGACCCTGCAGACCTTCTAAATCCAGGTTCTTAACAGCAACAGGCTGAGCTTTCAACCCAGGCCTAAGTTTGTCATCAATGAACCCTTTATGAACCAGTCCGAACCCACCTTCGCCGAGAAAATTAGCCGACGAAAAGCTCTGTGTTATCACCTTCAACTCCCCGAGCGTAAACGCATGAAGATTCGAACCGGCGAGCGAGGTCGACAAATCTTCCGACAACATCGTCGAGCTCGGATAACTTAAGTCTAACATGGCGAACCTCGTGAATGAACTTTGCTTTGAAACTTCCTTCTTAGGTCTACTATCTGGTTTCACAACACCCTTTGAACAGCTCGGGATGATGGATCTTAAAGCAATCTTCATCACTGTCATTTTTTTTCCAGAATCTGGAAATTAAGTTCTTCAAATTTGGCTTGTACTGTCGACGTCTATGAATCCCAGAACTGAAAGGATAGTCTGTAGTTGGTGAAAGAAGAAAATATTCAACCTCGAATCACCAACTTTCTTACATAAAATGGAAATCTTTAGGTTTTCTCTCTCTATATATATATACACACAAGAGTTTGACATTAGTGTGTTATATATCATTTTGATTTGATTAATGGAGACGATAAGTCCACATTAGGCGGCTGCACCCATTGACTTTCTTCCTTCTTTTTTCCATTAAAATTAGAAGTTTGTTTGCATTTGGAATCTTCTGTATGAAAGCACACTCGAAAACTGCTTGCTGTACTTTTCCGGGATTAATTCCGTTAGAATTTAGTGTAAAATACACATTCAATACTTAAACTATTAATTTTTATCTGTTTTAGTATCTAAAATTTTAAAACTATACCTAAAATTTAGCCATTTAAAATTTTAATTTGATTTTTTACGTTATTATATTTCAAATAATAAAAGGGTAAAGCACACAAATGGTCCCTGATTATAGGGCACTGCTTTATTAAGTCATTCTACTATTAAAAGCTACAAAATGATCATCTGGACATAATGTGTTGCTTTTTTTAGTTCCCCGACTATTAAAAGTTACAAAATGATCACTCGACTATTCATTATGTTCCAAACTCGTCCTTTTCCGCTAAAAAAATTAGTGATTGTCGAAGTTGAACGTTAACATGATGACTGAGATATAATATTCGTTTGGGATTCTGCACAGTCAACAAGTTAACGTTCAGCTCAGAATACAATCAATTTTTAACGGAAAATGATGAGTTTGGAACATAATGAATAGTTGGATAACCATTTTGTAACTTTTGATAGTCGAAAGACTCAACAAAGCAACACTCTATAGTCAGAAGACCATTTTGTAACTTTTAATAACCGAAAGACTCAATAAAATAATACCCTATAGTAGGGAGATCGTTTGTGTACTTTACCCACAATAAAAAGTGAATTCAAAGGTTTGAGGGTTATTTTGTTGAATAGAAAAAAATGGGGAATTAGGTATTAATCCTGCTAAAATCCTCAGTCAGAGGACCATTTTAATTTTAATTTTTTTTAGTTAACCAAATAGGAGATTCTGTGTTAGTTTTGGACTTGGTAAACGACAGAGGTTGGCACACTTGCAATAAGTCATATGTTTCTTCTTATCCAATGAAAATATATATTTAAACTATATGATACATTCTGATACCTCAAAAATGCTTAAATTCAACACCAGCCCCATATGGCTGCAAAACGTCGAATTCAGTCACCAAATGGCTGCAACACCAGCCCCGTTGTTTCCATACAGTCGGATTACAGTCGGCTTACATGAACAGTTTCGTTCAAGAAGAGACAACCAAACACAACATTGAAGAAGTCGCGGCCTTTAACCGTTCCGCCCCCTCCGACTATCGCTTCGGTATCGTACTTGCATGCTCTCCCACGGTCGGGGCAGTACGTAACCTGCATAAAAATTGGCGTATCCGGTTTATAAAATAGGATCATTCAGTCATGAAGCGGAACATCAAATGGAAGGATGTAATTTTCAGTAACAAACCTCCGATAACTTGGGCTGGAAAGAGGCATCAAGCATTACATCCACACCGTACATTGCCCTCGACTTCGGATCATGCATCTCCGGATGTGCTGATGCAGCTGACTCAAAGGCGGATCTGATCATGCTTTTTACTCTCTGGTGGATGTCGAGCCATTTAGCTGTAACAAAGAACACGTAAATCGTCAATAAAGAAACGACTTATATATCGCCTCTAGGAAACTCATTCAATATATGGCATCTCAGTCGGACAACAGAATGTGCATTACCCAGAAGATATCTGAAAGGAAGATCTCCAAAGGGTTTATACTGCGAACGAGTACAATGATTTAGAGTGGTTCGACTTCTAAATCAATTTTACATCTATTATTTTAGTTCCACAATAAAGATATTCTAACAAATTCACTAATTTTATTCTCTTTTTCTAGGCTCAATAGTAACATTTATAATTTATCTAATTTTTTAAAGACTAAACTAGAATCGCTCTCCTTTGTAGACAAAGAATATAAATAAGAAAAATATCTAAAGGTATGTGTTTACAAAATTAAGCTCACAAAAACATTATGTATAAAAAAAAGAATAAAGAGTGAAAAAAATTTCTCTTAATCTTGATTGCTTTAATAGGTGTTTTAATCTTCTTCGAGTGTTATTGATTTGTTTTTATATATTGGAATGAGTTTGTAGTCGTTTCTAGTCGTTATGATGTTTTGGAGTCCGTTGGAGATTAATTTTCTACAAAACAGAACAACCTAGAACAGAGAGTATCAGTACTCGAGTTAGGAGTAGCGATACTTCCTTTATAATATTTAAATAAACTAACTGTGACGGTTAGGCTTGACCAATATCAATACTATAGTTTTATAGTATCGGTACTTCTTGTAGTTTTGGGCCTCCAAAGTTTGGGTCGAGGTGGCCCAGGTGTTTCCGGGCCTTTCGTCGGCCTTCCCGTGCCATATTCTCTTCGATTAATGAAAGTTTGTGGTTTTATATAAGCCTAAAAGAAAGCAATTGACACGAAGCGGTCAACCAAGATCAAGGACAACGATCTCTACAAGAAAGTCCTACGCAGCCCTCTTTTTTTCTTTCTTAATTCCTACACAGCCAAAATATCTCTATCCAATCTTATTTGCTCCCTCTCTTTTGTTCTTTCTTCCATTTTACAATTTTCAACATCAACGAAAGAAGGAATTTGCCATCAGGACAAGGCTTCCCCATCTTCATTTATTCCATCCAGTGTTCAACTATTTCAGTTTCATAGTAATATAGTATAGAAGAAATTCAAAGTAACCCTCTTTTTTCCTTTAATTTTCTTTACCTTTTATCATCAATGGAGGAGATATAGCCTCCCCGTGTGCACTTCACCGGATGATTGAGATACTCACTGCTTTTACTAACTCCCTTTGCTTCATCTGCTGCTTTCGTTTTCTCAGACGGTGTCGTGTGTTTTCGAAATGAATGACGAATCTTGTTCGATGAGATCCTCTGGGTTTATCCACGGGATGGAGCGTATCTCGGTCCACGATTCGGCGGAGGATCCGGGGTGGTTGTCGTCGGAAGATGATGGAGAAGATGATGATCTGGGGTCTAGTAGTTCGTCGTCGATCGGAAGGAACAGTGATGTTTCCGGTGAATCGTCAGCGGAGGGTGAAGATTCAGCGGAGGCTGAAGTGGAAAGCCAGCTTAAAGAACCCTTGGATTCCATGGATGCTCTAGTGGATGCTTTGCCTATGAGGTAAGTTTTTTTTAAGAAATAAATAAACCAAACCCACAAATTTTTAGAACTTATTCTTTCTGGGTTTTGATTCAGTATTGAATCTCTGTTGATGGATTTTATTAAAATTGTGCAAGAAAGTTTAGGGGAATGGCTAGGGTTTATTGTGAGATTTATTGAGCTTAGCGATAATCTGCTGATGCACTTGTTAATTAAACTATCTGACCACAATCACTGTTTGAAATTGCATGCTTTGTTAATCTAGTGGTGTTAAAGCATCACATGATAATGTAAATTCATTTTTGAAGATTAAGAGCTCCTGTTTTTCCCATTAACCGTTGCTTGGATCTCGAGAAAATGTTTTCCGAGAAGGATTTCTGTGATTTTGTATGGTTTATTATTTTTGTGCTTTAGTTTCTTATTGTTGTACTTTTGCTTATTTCAGAAGAGGCATATCCAACTTTTATACTGGCAGATCAAAGTCCTACACTAGTCTAGCCGATGCAGCTGCCGCTCCGTCCGTTAAAGATTTCGCCAAGCCGGAGGATCCTTATAACAGGAAACGCAAGAACTTATTAGCCCATGGTTCTTTTCTGGGGAAAAATCGCAACCGAAGTGCAATGGCTCTTCGAGCTATTGCGAGCACCTCCGACTTCAACTCGATCTCATCATCACCGTCCAGCAGCGGCCTGCCACCACTGCATCCACAGCATAAAAAATCAACTGCCATCAGATCATCATCGCTGACTTCTCGACCGATCCCTCCTTGTCGGTCTTTCTCCTTGTCTGATCTACAGTATGCTGATGCTTCAACTCCTCACACAGCAGGTTTGGCTGTTCACAGTGGCAACAATGACAACAAACCCTGTTGAACTCAACCAAAGTGTACGTATTCAAAATTGTGAAACTGGAAATACCTGAATGGAACTGGTCTTCGAGAATGGAGACCGTCACCTCCCCGTTTCGAACTTTGATCAAATGGTTTAACTTGTAGTTATAGGTGTACCATGGCCATGCATTTGAGAAGTTGTCCCTGCAGCTGTACTGTATTTTCCCATTTCTCTTGTTTGATTTGAGGTAATAATGAGAATGCTATGTTGTATAGTACAAGAACTAAAATACATTCTCTTACTATGCAGCAACCGTCGACCGCCTTCTTATTTCTCGGTGATATTGATACTGGTTACCGGATCCCGGATCGGAGTCTCTATGTTACCGCAGTTATGGTTATAGTCCAATGATCAGTGCTTTACAGTGGCTTGAATCTTGATGATTGATTTACTGGAATTCTTAGTTAAGGTCATCCTTATGGATCTTGATCTTTGTCAATTGTGTGGTTAAAGTGACCCTCTTTTCTTCCATTTCTAGTATTAAATTATAGGGTAAACTAAGCATATAGTACATAAATTATTGGTTTTAATCCGTTTTAGTACTTAAACTTTTAATTTATGATAAAATTAATATGAACTCTAAAATGAGATTAATTTAAACCGATGATTGCAATCGAGGACCTGTGAAGTACTTTAACCGAAACTAGTGCTACGAATAGGAATGACAACGAGTTAGGTTACGGTTGTGTTTTTGGTTGACCCGACTCAAAAATATGTATATTTCACTCGAATTCAATCCGATCCGAAAATATATAACTTTCACCCAATTTCGATTCGACCCAAATTTTTGGAGTATAAATCCGATTGACCCGATATAAAATAAGGATTTAATTAATAATTTTTTTGAAGAAAATATATTATTTTCTCCATGTCGAGTCAGATCAGAATTTTTTTACCCTTCAGTTCACCCAAACCCGATCCAGATCGGAATTCGATTTCTTTTTAAAAAATCTGATTATATCATATCGAAACCAGTCGGTTTCGAGTTAAATTACCGTCTCACTACGAATCAATAGCACTGGATCAGGGCCTTATGCATCAATGAATCCTGCTGGTCCCCGATGAACTGAAATCGAATACGGTGGACCATGGCCCAAGCTCAAACCAGAGGAGGAATAAATGAGCAAGGATTCATAGCCAGATAAGGCCAAATCAGAAGCATCATCACAAGAAATTCACAACAAGAAAGACCTCAAAATCTCCATTAAAATTGCCCAAGAATCGCAGAATCCGGACCCGAAAACACTTGACAAAATATCGCATGTATTCACTTTTCTAGTATAATCCTATCCTATCTTATAGGTAAGTATACTTTCAACTCAGAACTTTCCAGTACTCAAAATCCGACTCTGAGTTTAACATTGGCTTTCATCGCCTGGGTTCTCTTGGGAACTGATTTTTCAGTTTTGGTGGGTCGGAAAATGGATCCGGCGCCTAACGGTGAAGAACCCACTTCCTGGGATGAATTATGTAACATAAATTTGATTCCATCTGAACTGTTCCTCAAATTCAGAAAAGAAATTCAGGGGTTGCGAGTTGGAGTCAATTTGGAGGTTATTTTTCTTTGCTTTTTTTACAGTCTTGGATTGTTCCATTTATGATATATGCTATCCAATTCTCGTTATCCTGTAGGGGTTGTTGTTTTTGACCTGTTGAGTGTTTACATCTTAGTTTTGGTTCAGTTCTACAATGCCCCCATCAATGATTTCCAAACTAAGCTTGTGCTGAAGCCTTTATCCCCTGAACGGAGGTGGAAGTTCGCTTATGAGCCTTTACATCAAGATGTTCGACTTCTTTCCAAAAAGATTCCCGTTACAAAATTTCTTAATCTCCAGGTCTGGTTCACTGTGATTTATCTTTTCTGGAAGATGAACTTTTCTAGTAGTGATTGAATGTAGGAGTGTATTCATATTGTTGGAAATAGGTTGGGGTAGGCCATAATTTCAAGATGAACGCAACTGGATGGAAATGGAAGCTCACCACCTGTTTGGGTGGAGACGGAGTTTCTCGGATTCGGAATAAGACAACGCTTGGCTTGGTTCCTGGCCTGGATTTTAGATTCGGGTGGAGGGCGGATTATGTTCTACCGGAAGCTACGGGGTAAGTTCCTTGATATTCTTTCGATATTGTATTTAAGAATGTTATGTGACAATGGCGGTGGCGTTGAGGTCATGTATAATATAAGGATTGTCTTTGATGTTAGTTTTACGAATCGTTCCCTATAATTTGTTGAATATTTTTCAGGTGATGTTGGATCCCAAGGTAGCTGCAAATCGATAGCTATTGACTCGATGATGATAGAATGTTCATATGCTTTAAAAACAACTCGAAATATATGAAATGTGTTATTGTTGTGCTTCTTCTTCTTGTTAATTGTGTCATTTTGTTTCTTTAGAATTTATTATTCAGTAATTCCGTATATTCCTTCTTTTACCGGTGATGATTATTTGTAGCTTACCATTAGTATCTTGAACTTAACAGAGCTCTTGGTACCAATGAACCATTGTTCAACTTGAACTCAGGGCGGTTGCAAGCATCGTTAGATAGAGTTGAGGCCATTGTGACTCATTCATCTGATAGGTTGTGATCAGCTGTCAACACATCAGGTATGATTATCTCGAGACCTTTTCCGGAGCATTTAAGATCGACTTTTGACGTAGTATAACTGACAACTTGTAGGATACTTTCAAAGTAACTGGAATCTTCAGCCATTTAATCCGGGAATATGCATTTCACATCTGCGTTTTTACCTATGATGTCTGTCTCTGAACATGCTTCTTTTCACATTAGCACGATGAGTTATATTTCACGACAGACCCTCATTGTGTTACTTAGCTGCATTTAGATTCAGATGAATTGGATTTTTTGTATAACAGTTTTCTTTCGGAAACTTCAATCTTAGCAGGGCCAGCTTGAACCGAAATTGAATAGAGGTACACTTACTAAATACGAATGTTGTGGCTCTTCCGTATAGCATTAAGTAGCCAGTGTTTGAAGAAACCGGGATTTCGAATTCAAATATTCTCCTCAAAACTAAAGCATGCTAATGTATGAAGTTGGCTCTGTTATGCTCCTTTTATTTCCTTTCCCCAACTTCCTTTCATATGTTCATTACTTCGATCGGCGGGTCTCCCCATGAAATTACTGGTAAATCGGGTTATTTTTACTGTTTGAGATTATTCATATGTTTGCAAATAGTAGCTAGCGGTTCAACATTATTAATTTGGGTTTCTTTCTTTCTTGATATGTGATCGTCCCTCTCGATAATACGTCTTGGGCCGCAATCATTTTTATATTCGAATGACTCGATAGACTTCGAAATTTGAAACCCGAATACCGACTGTTTCAGAATCTATCTTTTTGAACGTTTTGAAAGCATGTAGAGGGAAACACCGATATCAACATCATCAACGGAGGTCAAAAGTGTGGACCCTCTCCACGTAGCCGTTATAACCTTTGTATCTTGCAACGGCTACAACACTCATTGTATATAGCATTTCAAATCCTTCACTTTCTTCAAGACTCCATAGCCAAAAACTCACCTTGGAAGATGACTTCCTCTAAGCTCAGAAGATCCTTTTCCTTCCCGAATCTCCTTCTTTCCTTCTTAAACTTCATTCTCTTCACCCTCTCTGCCGCCTCAGTTGCTCCCATTATCGTCCTTAAATGGCCACCGACGTCGCTCGGTTTCGCTTTCCTCATGGTCTCCTCCATTTCCCTTCTCTCCTCCTTTGTAGGTTTCTACTCTCAATTAACACGGTTCTGCTTCATAACCCACGTTTCTCTTCTCGTTGCCTCGTTGATCGGCCAAGTTCTCGGCATACTGTCATTGTTCACCAGAGAGAGATCGAGCATATCGATGCTGAAAACCACGGTGGACGTTAAAGAAGCGAAGCTGTTGGTGAGAGTGGAGTGCGGGGTTTTCATGGCGATGCTGGTGACGCAGTTGCTGGTTTTGGCGCTGACCTGCGCGGTGCATCATTGGTGGGTGAGGGAATACGAAGGGTTAGAAGCCGAGAGAGAGTCGACCGCGAAGAAACGGAGCAGGAGGTTGCAGAGAGTGCAAGAGGAATCGATGGCGAATGCGGCGAGGATCGCCGAGTTTAAAGCAAAGGAGTTCGACGAGAAGATGAAGAGCAACTATTGCCAGTGGGTGAAAACTGATTTTGAAGGCTGAGAGGATTACATGTAATTGTGTTGGTTTCTTGCTCCGGGCCACCGCTGTGGTGGCGCCATTGGAGTCGTTCTGGTTTTTAGAATTTGCTATTTCAAAATTAAGTGGTTAACGGTATCGTTGATGTTTTTTCGAATCAGATCGAATATAAGTTTTTATTTTAAAAATCGAGTCGAGTATAAATGAAACTTGTCTAAATCTTATTCAAAACGACTAATAAATGAAGAGATACTATGCTCCGATAGAGCTCAAATAGACCGACTCATGATCATCTCTAATTATATCTATTATCCTAAAAAGAAAAAAGAAAAATCATAAATAACATATTAGAGGTGTTCGAAATCGGATATCTAAAATATTAGGTATTTAGGGTTTTCAAGTACTAAAAATGTCATAATAGTATCTTGACCCATTAAGTTTAGGTACTCGTAAGTTAACCAATCGTAAAATTCGGATATTTGTATTTTCGGGTCATAGACACTTGATTTGTATTTATTAGTCTTTAAAGAATATTATTTTTTTCAAAATATTAACATAAAAATGTAAAAAATCTATGATACGTAATTTACAAATAAAAAATAAAATTACATAATTACATAATTAAAAGATAAAGTTTATTAAAATAAAATAAAAAATTAAATTAAATTTAAAATATTTTGAGATTAAAAGAAATAATTTAAAATTATTATTATAAAATAATTTAAGAAATTAATAATCTAGGATGTTACGATGAAATAATTTGAGAATTAAATATATAAAAATATAATATATATTTATATATAATCGAGTCTGAATTAATGGATATCCTATTAAAAGATATTTTGTGATTCGGGACACCCGAAAAATAATAGATAAGATATTCAACCCGTAAAATTTTTGTATTTTCATTATAAATATCGAATATTTTCGAAAAAAAAAACAGACCCGCCAATCAATTGGAGCCTTTATCTTAATGCCACATCACAATGCGTCCACGTGTCACAATCTCAACCCACATCACAAAATGTCGTCTTATCCACTCTTTGAATGGGCCCCACTGTTTCGCACTCAACGCGCGTCGCCGTCTTCGGTTTTCCTTTATTGGATTTTAGTATTATTTTTCACATTTTTTTACCCAATTTTCAAATAAACAAGGAAAACACCATATTATATATTTTCCGGGAAAGTTTAATTTTCCGGGAAAACCTTTTAGCTCTGCCGTGTCAACCGTCTCGGTTTACAGAACTGGATTCCTGACTTTCTCTAGTCATGGATCCATCCACCGCCGCAAACTTCAAAGACTCTCCCTTTCTCCCAACTTCAAAGACTCTCTATTCAGATACACATTGTGAATCTAACCTCTTGCAGGAACTTCTCAGGGTAATTTATGTATGCTTGTTTCCAAATTGTAAATGCCATGGATTTCTTTCATGCTTGTTCTTGGATGTTAAAGGTACAGTGGAGTTTTATTTAAGCATTAGCAACAAGCAATAGGGGCATTCGTAGCCCTCGGCCTGCTCAGCCTGGTGAGGGGTAATGTTAACGCATAGGTCATGAAACCAGTTACTACATAAGTCGCAACATATCCAATCCTCATGTGATTCACGTCCTCCGCATGCACCACATTCCTCATCATCCGATGATAACCTTTCTTTACCCTTTGCTCCCTTGCTCCTGCTGGAGGATCTACTGCATCCCTGTATAAACATCTGGTTTGACCCATCCATTAATAAGCCAACACATGATTTTTTTAGAGCACTAAGAATGTCCTACTTACAGCTTGTGCACTTGGGTTGAATCTCTTTCTGCTAGGGTTACGATCCGGTGGCTTTCCCTTTGCCTTTTCCTTTGCATTCCCACTGACAATATCAAACAACGTGGGGAGTTCATTGATCATCGTGAACAGACTATTCCTGCATCACATAAGTTCTAACTTGGTTACATATCTATCTGTTGGACACGAATACTCGAACAAAAACAAAGAATCTGAGAAACATAGCCGCGGAGAGCATCGGTATTGCCTATGTTATAATAAATTTCTGTTTGTGTTCGGTTTTTTTAGTGTCCACGAACATATTTGATAAGTGAACATGAACATGTTGGACAAATTACATTACTAGTCCTTAAGTTTTTTGGGTTTCACGATTTGAGCTCAAAAGTTTACCTCATATTCAATTTAAGCCTTACCTTCACAAAAGTTTATAAAAGAAAAATGAGAACTGGGTAGCTTATAAAAGAGTTTTTAAACAAGCTTGTTCATTCTGTTCGTGAATATGAACAACCAGAACGCACATTTATTCGCGTTCATTTGTTTATTAAATGAACATAAATATTTTGTTCATGCTCATTTATATAGGTTTAAACGAACATAAAACAATGATATATGAACGGTTTATCGAAGATAAAGGTGAGAGGGTGGGGGAGTTATACCTGTTAGCTTTACCGAAAATACGGACAGCACCAAGATGGAAAGCCACTGCTATGAGCCATGTATCACTTGCAACGGCAACAGAAAGCAACCAGTTATTTCCATCTCTTGGACAGTTAATACCTCTAAAAGGCTCCGGTATATCTGGAGGTACATCCTCAACAGGTGGCTTAACTTCCCATTTCCCATCTGGATGTCCATACAAGCACAGGTCCTCCTTCTTATCTGCAAAAACCAAGAAAAAAATAACACAGCATTGCCTCGTAAAGAAACCAAGGTGCAGTTTAACAAAGAGGATAAGTTTCTCTTACCAGGATCGCATTGCTTTTGAAATTCTTCAAAGTCTGCTCCAAGGAAAAGGAAAGAATGGGAATTAGAATGAGAAAAAGATTAATGGATGATAAAGGAAGGAAAAGATTAAAGAAAGAAGAGAGAGACCGGTGGTTAAGGCTTTTATCAAAGCTAGGCGTCGGCCTTGGAAGTCCCTGAAGACGGCGTACACTGCTGTGTCTTGTTCTTGAGCACTACTTCCCTCCATTTGTCTACAGATTGATTCACACCACTGATATTGCATTAATTTTTCTTTCTTGGAAAACAATGGAGAGTCATGAAATCCTGAACTATCTATCTATCTATATATGTATAGTGATAAGCAGTTCACAGGAACACTTGGCTTCGTGTGATCAGGTCCGGGTCGGGCAGCAGCTGGAGGACCGCTTCGAGACCAGTCTGGTTCTTGGACTAATGATTTCCTCATTAATATTGGTTGCTTTGTTTTAAGACACAAGTCTTTTTCTCTTTTTGAATGACAGAAAGAAACCCTTTACACACAGCTTTGTAATCCCGTGAGGTTCTTGAATGATTGAAAATGGGGAAATATTAGGATCCAGTCCCCACAAGAATGTAATCCCCTGCCATTACTGCTCAGGGGAGTTTATGCGTGCTTGTTTCCAAACTGAAAATTGTAAATGCCATGGATTTCTTTCATGCTTATTCTTTGATGTTAAAACTACAGTGGAATTTATTTGAGCATTAGCAACAATCAATCTTGTTTGGATTAATATGAGTATCAGATCTAGATATAGTTAATCTGTTTTAAGCTTTTCAATGTATTTGGACGACCCCCAAGATAAGTACGTGTACGTGACATTTTCCTTTATGCATCGACGATCAAGTCGGTCTTTCGACATTTTCAACAAATTAATGCAGAATAGGTTTGAGAATCCTCTTTCTGATCGACATGGGATTCACAGTCTGTTATGATTTTCATTCATGCATGGATAATCAACTCAGTCTTTGACATTTTGATCAGAGTTCTATGGGGGATTAACCTTAGTTATTATCTTCAAAAACAATGGTCGAAGCTAGTCAGAATCACTTGGCCTGCTTTCCCGGGTTGCTGCAATAGGGGCATTCGTATGTCGCCGCCTTCTCAGCCTCGTCGGGGGTAATATTTACGCATACGTCATGAAACCAGTTATTACAGAAGTCGCAGCATATCCAATCCTTATGTGATTCACGTCCTCTACATGCACCACATGCTTCATCCGAATCCGATGATACCCTTTCTTTACCCTTTTCTCTCTTGCTCCTGCTTGAGGATTTACTACCTCCCTGTGTGTACAAAATGCCAACAATCATCTACTTTTACTCATCCATTAATTAGCCAACACATGATCATTTTTTCAAAGCATTACAATGCCCTACTTACAGCTTGTGCACTTGGCTTGAATCTCTTTCTGCTGGGGTTACAATCCGATGGCTTTTCCTTCGCCTTGCCACTGACGATTTCATACAATGTAGGGAGAGCATTGATCATTGTGAAGAGACGACTCCTGCATCAGATGTAAGGTCTATCTTGGTCACATATATATGTGTTGGACACCGATACACTCGAAGAATAACGAAGAATCTGAGCAACATAGCGGCAGAAGTTATACCTGTCAGCTTTACTGAAAGGATTACCACCATGACAGAAAGCCACTTCTAGTAGCCATGAATCACTTGCAGCGGCAACAGAAAGCAACCATTCATTTCCAGACTTCTTATCTCTATTAGAGTTAATACCTAATAAAGGCTCCGGTTCATCTGAAGGTACCAGCTCAACAGGTGGCTTAACTTCCCATTTCCCATTTGGAAGTCCATACAAGCAGAGGTCCTCCTTGTTATCTGGAAATAAACCAAGAAAAAGAATACAGCGTTGCCTTGTAAAGAAAGCAAGGTGCAGTTTAACTTCATAACCAAGAATCATTTATGCGCCAAGAAAGAGAAGAAGCTCTTACTAGGATCACATTGCTTATGAAATTCATTAAAATCTACGCCAAGACAAACGAAAGAATGAGGAAAAGATTAATTGATTATGAAGAAAGGGAAAGATTAAAGGAAGAAGAGAGAGACCGGTGGTTAAGGCTTTGATCAAAGCTTGACGGCGGCCTTGGAAGTCCTTAAAGATGGCGTCCAATCTTCTGGTGTTGTGTTGTTCTTCAGTATTAGTTCCCTCCATTTACCTACAGATTGATTCACACCAGTGATATAGAAGAAATGTGTATTACGTGTAATTTTTATTTCTTTATAAACAATGGAGAGACATGAAATCCTTCGATATATATATATATATATATATGTATATATATAAACAGAACATGTTACAAATAATACAATCCAAACATTATTACACTGAAACAGCCTATAGTTTCCAATTATTTAAGCACCTCATAACAACAGCTCCCAGTTTCCCTTCATTAATGGCTTCACAGACCTTCTCTATATCCTCTCCTGGACTCACCTTCTTTTCACCAACAAGAAGCTCAGTTCCCACTTCCTTCCTCACAAATCCATATATCGGATAAGTCCTGCATTTCTCGATCTGATTAGCAACCTCGAATTCTCCATTGCCGAATTTTGCTCTTGCTTTCGGTAACTCTTCCTCGAGTTTCGCCTTCAATTCCTCGACGAAAACCGGGATCCTTTTGAATATCGAAAACCCTTCTTCGTCGCCCTTTTTATCTTTTAGTGCCCTTTCGACAAGTACTTCTCGAAGCTTAGGCAAAAGGGTGTACGAAGGGTTCATCGGGTCATCGAGATAGGAGAAAACCGGTTGGTGTTCGATGACCTGCAAGAGTTCTTTCTCGCAGAAACGTGATTGGAGCAGTGATCCATCTTCTGCAAGGTAGAGTGTTTTCTTTACTACTTGGAGAAGTATTTTTTTCACTGTTTCTCTCATGTTTTCCTCCAAATGTCGCAAATCAATAGCCTGGCAAAGTGCCACCATGAATGTTGAGGACATCAGCTTGAGTATTTCAATGGCTTCTGCACTTTTTCTAGCCGAGATAAGGCCGAGGGAGTTGACATCTTGGTTGTGTTGTTCGGCGCTTTGCACATGCGTCGTGACGGGATTCGCGAGGTATTGTAGCTCGGAGCAGTATGCAGCCATGGCAATCTCTGCGCCTTTGAATCCGTAGTCCAAGCTTGGATTAGTTCCTCCGCTCAAGTTCGACGGCAAACCGTTGTTGTAGTAATCGCAAACGAGTTCGGAGAATTGAGCAAACATGAGCTTCCCGATGCCTGCGATTGCGATTCGGAGATTGTCCATGGAGACACCTATAGGCGTCCCCTGGAAATTCCCACCGTGGAGAGCGATGTCACGATCGACATCGATCAACGGATTATCGTTAACGGAATTGATCTCCCTCTCGATCGAATGCGTCGCTTGTCGAATTACTTCGACTTGAGGTCCAAGCCATTGAGGAGAGGTTCTAATTGCATACCTGTCTTGTTTAGGCTTAGTAAGAGGGTCTTTCTCATGCCTGATCTTAGCTTCTTTCATGTAATCACTTCCGTCTAAAAGAAACTTCATGATCGCAGCCGATTCGATCTGGCCGGGATGGTGCTTGAGCTCATGCGTTAAGGGATCGGTGAACTCCGGCTTGCCGTGCATAACTTCGCAAAACAAAGCCGAGAGAATCACCGAAAGGAGAGCCAAAAGATTGGCATCGAAACAAACCGTGGCAGCAACAGCAGAACCAACGGCGGTTCCGTTCACAAGAGCTAAACCTTCCTTTGCTTGGAGCTCGAAAGGACCATTAATTCCAGCTCTTTTCAAAGCCTCGACACCGTCGATCTCTCCTCCGTCAGCAGTGACGACCTTGGAGTTTCGTCTCCCTGTTAACAACCCTGCAATGTATGATAACGGGACGAGATCACCGGACGCGGTGATCGTCCCTCTGAGCGGCAGTTTCGGGATCAAATTCCGATTCATGAGTTCCGTCATGGCTTCGAGTATCTCCCACCGGATACCGGAATAGCCTTGCATGAGCGTGTTGGCACGAACGAGCATAGCCGCCTTGGAATAACTGGTCGGAAGATATTCTTTCCCGATCACACCGGCGTTCAAGAATCTTATAAGCTCCGTCTGGAGGTCGGAAGTCTTCGTGGTACGTCTATGAGACGTAGCACCAAAACCAGTGGTGACTCCATAAATGTCAATCCCACGAGAGACTCTGTCGCTAACCCAATCAGCACTCTTCGCCACCCTGTCACGAGCAGCCGCCTCATCAAGCGAAACCACCACTTCGTTCCTTCTCGAAACCGCCGTGACCTCAGCCACCGTAAGGGTAGTCCCCTGAATTCCAACAACTTTCGCCTCCGCAAACTGCGACACCATTCGGCTAACCTCGTCGACATAAGAGCACCGGAGGGCATCAGCAGCCTTTTGCCAGTGCAAATGAGTTAAGACAGAGCAACCATTCTCGGAAACATCGAATTCACCAGTTGCCATTGCAAGAGAAAGAAGAAAGACAACAAGGGTACGTGAAGAATATGGAAGAAGGGAGATTGAGAGGTAGTTTTTAGGACTTGGAAGTGGTGAGTTCTGATAGAGAAAGCAATGGGTGAGGAGTATTTATAGTGGTGTGTGTGAGGGTGAAGTGTTTGTTAAGTGGGAAAGGGCTGCGGTTGGTCAAGTCCTTTAAAAGTAAGCCACCCTCATTTTGACTGGTCTCAGATGCTGTTTCAGGGAAACTGAGTGGAAAGATACTTGGGCTTTTCTTTCTTTCAAAGAAACAAGTCTTAGTTGTTGAATGGAAAAATGTGTACAATATTAAAATTCCACCTTACTATTATTTCTAAATAATCACTTTTTGGCATGGTTTTCAGAATCGGATCGATTAGCGAATCGGTCATATTATCGGTTCATTGGTTCAATCGGTCGAATCGATTCGATCGGTCAGAAGAATCGGACGACGTCATAATTATTTAAAAAATTAAATAAAAAATACCAAAATGATTTAATAAAAAATAATTTTTTATATTAGAATTCATATTCAAAGCAAGTCATAACATATACAAGTTAAAAACCATAAAATCAAGTGAAACAAAATGATTCAAATTAACTACAACATAATATTTAAGGTAAAACATATTAAATAATAAATATAATTATATAACTATAATTAAAAAATAAATTTGAGGTTAAAAAAATCATAACAAAATGATATTGTTTGGTTTAATTTTTTTTTAAAACAATCCCACATGACTAAGAAACATAGAAGAGCATCCCAAAAGTTTAAAGAGTAAAAATATGAGAACAAAACAATCTCACATTGCTAAGAAACATAGAAGCGCATCACAACTAACTTCTATAAATAATAGAGGTAATTTGGCATTCAAAATCATGGAGTCTTTTGGTGAGCATTGAGTGAACTATTCTTTCACTTCAATCAAGCTCGAATTTTAGGCTTCAATCGAGCTTCTAATTTTTTTTTGAGTTCAAGTCTTTTTGAGTTCAAGTTTCAATATTATATTTCGAGTTTGAGTTGAACTTAATAATTTTTAGCTTGTGAGTTTGAGTTGAGTTGAGCTTACTTTTAAAGTTTTCAAGTTCGAGTCGAGCTCAGCAATATTCGAGCTCACCAATATTATATTTCAATATTAATTTTTTTTTTAAAAACAAAAATCCCGGTTTTTTCCGGTTTTCAGCCGGTCTGGTTCGAACGGTTCAGCGATTCTGGTCGGTTCACTAATAGCGGTTCAACCGGTTTAGATTGAACCGGACAAAGCAACGGTTTCTGGTTGAACCGGCCGGTCCGATCCGATTTTCAAAAACAGAGCTTTTTGGTATATTTTAATATTGAAATTTTATTTTTTTTCAAAATAATACTCAACACATTTTTATTTCATTTTAGTATTCATCGTTAAAAGCTTAACGGACGGATTGACGTGACATAATTTCGGTAGAAAAACAACCAATCCGAAATGTGGACCACAAGAGAATAACGAGTCGACCAACATAGTTCGGTTTCATACCCATTGGACGGTAGACCATGGAAATAGAAGGATAAAATGCTCGAAGAGTTCATGTTGATTAGGGAAGATTGAGGTGTTTTCGATGAAAATGAGGTCGGAATCGTGTTCAGGGGTCGAAAAGGTGCGAGCTGGAAAGTTTACTCTTCATCAATCGTCGAAGAATACGACGGCCAACAACTTTAGCGATCAACGAGCCCATCCGTTAAGTTTTTAATAGCGGGTACTAAAATGAAACTAAAACTAAACATTATGTATGATTTTGAAAAAATTAAAAATTTAAGTACTAAAACGTACTAAAATTAATAGTTTGTGTACTACCCTAGTAATTACTATTCGGATATTATTGTAAAAAAGTTATATTAATAATTAAATTATCTTTTGTTAACCAACTCTTTTTGGTTTTCTTGATGTAGTAAGTAGAGGTGAAAATAAAGGGGAAACTGTTTACAAGTGAGGACTATTTTTTTATTTATTAATAAGTGAGGACTATTTTTTTTATTTATTAATAAGTGAGGACTAAATTGAATATTAAAGAGTTCATGGTAGTGAGGAATTGACCATTGACCTTATGGAAAATGCGTTCCGCAGTTGGTACAAGTACATGAACGACAGCTTTTATTCGGACCATATTGACCCACGTGGACATGGGTCATTTTTTTTAGTTCATACGTATACCCACCATCCATTAGCTAACATTAGCTTATTCCTTATGTATTTTTTATACCCACCGTCCCTAAACTTTAAAGTATTCTAATTTCATCCCTAAACTATAATTATCATTTTAAATTAGTCTTCAAAATTTTAAACAATTTAATTTCATCTCCAGATTATGACTTTCATTCTAAATTGGTATCCAAACTTTTTGAGCATTCCAATTTCATCCAAAACTATATCGATATACTAATCACGTACCTTATTAATAAAATCGTTAGGCCAAGTTATATGATTGTATGTTTGAAAAAAATAAAATTTAAGTTAAATTATGGTTAAAACTAATTACATATATATTTGGATGAGTTTAGGGATGAAATTGGAATATTTAAAAGTTTGAGGACTAATTTAGAAAGAGGATCATAGTTTGGGGATAAATTAGAATGTTCAAAAGTCTAATGATTAATTTAGAACGAAAGTCATAATTTTGAGATGAAATTGAAACATTCAAAAGTTTAAGGACTAATTTAAAATAAGAGTAATAGTTTAGGGTGTAATTAACTCTAAAAATAAATTATATATATTTACATAATTGAGTCGAGTATAAGTTTTAATATAAAAATATATATCGGATTTCGGGTTGATAAAGATACTCTTACAATGGGTCGGGTCAACTTCAAATGGAGATGTATATTTCTCGGGTCAAATTTTGAGTGAGAAAAAAAATTCGATCCGATCTCTAGCTACGAGCCATTAATCTTTAAGTGTTGGATGAGTAGGGTCAGACATTTTCACCAAATTAATGACGAAAAGGTTTCGGAATCCTCTTTCTGGTATTAACAAAGCTAAAAACGAAGAACACAATTCAGGCCACCAATGTTCAGCCAACAGGGCAGCACCCTCAACACTAATAAACTTCCCTCAGAAAATCATACTGGCATTGATATGTATACGGTCCTTAACATGATGCATGTGTTGGTTTCTTGTGGTTGCAAAAGGGGCATTTTTACACCTCCTCGGCCGATAATTTTCCTTTACCCTTTGCTTGCTCGGTGGTGCCGCTCGAGGATTGAGCAGATCCGGACCCTCCCTGTGTAAATGGCAACGAACATGTTCAAAGTCTAACCCTAATCATCCAACAGTTAAGGATCATGCACAATGTCCTACTTACAGCTTGATCAGTTGATTCGGATCTCTTGGTGCTTGGATTATCAGAATCTGATGACTTAACCACAATTTCATGCAATGTAGGGAGATTATTCATCATCTTGAACAGACGATCCCTGCATCAAAAGATATTGACGATTCCCAGCAGCATAAATAAACCAGTGGAAGTAGTAATAGCTAGTAAGCAATACCTTTGAGCTCCATTAAAAGAACGCTCAGAAGCAAGAAAGAAAGCCACAGCTAGTAACCATGAATCACATGCAGCAGCAACTTTACGCATGCATGGATATTTATCCAACAAATCTCTGCGAATGTGGAAACCCCATGTAGGGTTTGGTATCACTGGAGGTTTATGGGCAGCCAGTTCAGCTTCCCATCGTCCATCTTCAAGTCTAAACAAGCAAAGGTCGACGCCCTTCACTGGACAAGAAACCCAAACTCAGAAAACAGTTATCATAGGGTAACAAAGAGAAGAAGATATTACCAGGATCGCATTGCTTATAGAATTCTTCAGAGTCTGCTCCAAGAAAAAGGAAAGAATGGGAATTAGAATGAGAAAAAGATTAATGGAGGATAAAGGAAGGAAAAGATTAAAGCAAGAAGAGAGAGACCGGTGATTAAGGCTTTCACCAAAGCTTCATGGCGGCCTTGGAAATCCCGAAAGACGGCGTCCGCTTCTGTGGTGTTGCCTTGTTCTTGAGCATTACTTCCCTCCATTTATCTGCAGATTGATTCACACCACTGATATAGGAGAAATATGTATTGCAGTAATTTTTCTTTCTTGGAAAACAATGGAGACTCGTGAAATCCTGATATATAGTGGAAAAAAAAACAGTTGGCGGGAACAGTTGGCTGACTCGAGTGTGATTTGGCTGACTCAGTCTGGTTCTTGGACTAGTGATTTCATCATTAATATTGGGCGAACTGGTGGTTAAAAGTTAAATATGTCACGAGGTAGTTTAAACCATACCGATTATTCCTCTATTGACTTTGAATTATATTTAGATAATCAACACTTAAATACAAGAAAATGTTAATGACTTGCAATCGATTTCCTTTGTTATTGCTTGTTCTAAGCTCCGTGTGGCTCGTCTCCTCCTAACATAGACATCGGCCTACTCGAACGACGATTTCATCTTTATTTCCGATCAATGAAATAACACTAATGGAAGACAAGGGAGACAACAGATGCTTTTAAGTAAAGTTTTCTGCAACAAAAAGAAAAAAGAACACCAAAGAAGCAAATAGAAGGCTCATCGGTCTACAACTGCAAAATGGAGTCCACAAGATCAGACAGAGGTGCAAGTTCTCCATTGTCAATCAACCGAAATTCCTGCTTAAAATGACAATGTTTCAGATATGGAGGTCCCTCATAATCATTACCATAAGCACATGGGACTTTGAGAAAGAAAGAAAAAAAAACTTACCCAAGTAAACAGAACAAAATGCTTAAAGCAAGTATTCAAATGAGCTTCCTCTTTAAGGCTCATAATCTCCTGAAAATGTGAGTGGTAAATGTGTGCATATACTCTGAACAATCTCTTAATATCGCCTTCACGACATCTCGAAAATTCGGTGGAAATGGTGCCTCTCTATTCAATTACACTTCTCATCAACAATGGCAATAGCTTCCATTTTTTAGTTCATAACATGATTACATGATAGTATACTGAATTACTAACCTGGTTTTTGTGGGAAAATTGCTTCATGATCCAGCTGAGCTTCAATCCAGTCCATTAGATACTCAACATATTTAGGAGCAGATACCTATATAGGCTTCTTTACTGTAACCCCATCAGCCCAACGATACTCGTATCTGCCGACATCGATCGTCATCGATGTGCCTTTGGAGCTGAGCACCCTGCAAATGCATTTTCATGGAGAATTGCTGAATCTCAACTTTGTATAAACATTAAATCTGAAAAAACAGAACAAGGGACGCAGCACTTGAACCTTGCTCCCTGATGGAGCATTCTTCTTTGGCCTAAATGTCTTCTGGTTTCTGCATAATGTAAAAAAGATTTGGAACAAACACTGAATCTAAAAACTTCGGGGGGCAAAATGAGATTTGGGCTATTGAAATTGTGCGAACCTGCTACCGAGGCCGAAGAGACTCGTGGAAAATGACCAACTCTTGGCGTTTCTAGCTGTGTATACAAATGGAAGAATCAGAGGATAAAGAAAACAAGAAATCCGTATATGCTGTATTTTGGATTTGCATTTTAATTCCGTAATTAAGTTGGATTGGATTGGCTCATTCAATTGCTTGACAGATAAGTCTCCCGATCACTACCGAGCCTAGCTGTTAAGAGTCCATGGCGTCGAGGTGATCGATTCCCGGTGAAATTCTGATAGCTACTCTATCTGCACCGATGGCTTCAGCTACTGCTCGAACGATTTACATCAAGAATCAAGTTCACTCAAGTTTCTCAACTAATGCTCTATATGCATGGTGAATAACAATTGTGAATGAACGATATAGGAGAAATATGAAATCCTGAACTATATATTATACCTGTCACCTTTAGTGAAAGTAAAATTTGATCTCCTTCTAGTTTGATCTCTACAGTTAATTATCCAATGAAACTGAATTCAAAATACGTTCTTCTTTATAAAAGAATATTTCTCATCGTTAGAATTTTTTAATAGACACCTCAAAACTCATGTTTCAAACCTAATGATTAAGTGACTAGAAAAAAATAAATACGCAAAGTTTAGTGATTAAATAAAAAAAATTATAATCGGGTGACCAAATGAAAAACATGTGAAAAGATGTATATACAATATGCATCCATCTTTACATAGTTACCGTATGTATTTAAATTCTTGTTTAACCATTAACGACACATATACTACTTTGTAACCACCTTAGCTTAATAAAAAAATTACAGGGAATATTAGATGTTGATGTCCCCGATATAATTCTTTTATTTATTTTTTACTTAAAAATATTATAAAAAATATCATAATTTGAAAGAAAAAAAAGTTAATATTAAAATAAAATTTTGATAAAAAAAAAGACTAAACTTACTATCATATATCAATTACAATATTTATTACATCTTCTTAGTGTTGAAATTTTAACTTGTAAGATAATATTTTAACAAATAAGTATAAATTTATATATTTGTGATTTGTTTTCATAATAATTTATAAAGTAAATGCATACATATTTTGTATAGAGAATAACAATTTTAATTTAATAAAATATATAAATTTATATAAACAAACCAAAAATTTAAAGAGGAGAAGTATCAAATATCTTAATGGAAAATTTAATTTAAAAAAGAATTAGAAAGAAAATTTTGATTTTGATGCAGCTTCAAAAGAACATGGACGAAAATTTGCGATCCAAAAGCTTTGCATGCCACACCAGTGAGTCACCTCCTCAGGAAATCTGAAATCAGGAACCCATCAATAAGGGAGATGTTAGAAATTTATAATCCAAAAATAACTAAAATAATAATTTTAACGTAAAATAAAACACGTGTAAAAAAGAGAAATTTAATGTAGTTCGGTTGTGTTTACTTACACGATGAAAGAAACTATAATCATCTATAAACGTAGAGGTCGAAGAGTACAAGTACATAATATCATATCGTTATGTATCCAAAAAACCAGTATATATCAAAACTCGATGTATCTCAAAACACTCTTCCAATATCATTCGAAACTATCTCTACAACGTAAACCTCAAAAACTGCAGAAACCACAAAAGGATTATATCTCTTCAAATAATTCTTATATATTCTAAATTATAAGACAAACTCCTCGTTTAGAATTACATCAAGTAATTTTCAACATGTAGAATTGTAACAAAATTCAATGTGATTTTTAATTAAAATTTGAGTCAATATCTAACTAGAGACAAAAATGGCGAGACGAGGGGAAGTAAGTAATCACATACTTTGCAGGTAAGAAAACGAAATATGCGTGTCATAAAGAGAAAATGATGAAGGAATGAAGCACAGTTCAATAGCTGTGAAATGCTCCAGTTGGATGTAATCTTAAAACAATGCAAACCAGTGCCATGACATTAGAAGATTATGACAGTAACATATATTCTCCCGAACTTTTCAACAAGACAGAAACTAGGTTGCAAACAAGGTGGCTGCAAGGCTTGGGGGATAAGCAAGGATTAGGCAAAGAAGTATGATGCAACCTTATGATCCTACCAAATATCATCCGGTGACAATTCATTTGGGAAAAAAGGTGAATTACCGTGTCCGTTTTGCGACGATTCAGTTTCCTTTTTCTTTGGCAGATGTTGTTCCAAAAACTGCTTGATTGTTTTCCAGTATAGGTCACCTTCAACCAACCAAGTGTCCATGTGCATGCCAGTAGGGAATTCGACAAATTGACATCGCCTGTTACGAGCTGCTGCTTTAGCATACAGCATTTGCATATGGGATGGGGGAATCATCTCGTCTTGTAAACCGGAAAGAAAAAGGACAGGCTGCTTAACCTGAAGATGTTAAGTTCAAAATAGAAGAAAGTTATGTCAACTAGTAAAGTGACTTTGAGGGCATACACAAGAAAAAACAAGCATCATCTTCCTGTCCTAGTTCAAGAAGTTTCTTGAAGGCGAACTAATTTTAATCATAAGCATGTCTACAACCAATGAACAATAAATTGATTGTAAGCAAACGAAAAAATGTGTAAACAGTTGCTTATCAATCGAAAGAACTTGTTTCCTTCACAAATTAGAAACAGCTTGCCTTAAATGCAAAGGACCATGCGACAGAGTGCTAACAGTTTATCTACATGCATGTCACTAATATAGTTTAAAAGTTTAGTCAAGCTAAAGTTCCAACCAACATGTAACTACCTGGCCAATGGCATCAATGGTACACCATGGAGAGCGAACAAGAAAATTAAGAATTTTAGGACCTTTTGTACCAGGGCCTCCAAGAAACCACTTCAGGAGAGGGAATAAAACTCCCGCCATGTCCAGAATAGATGTGAAAGTGTTTTCTAGTATCAGTGCAGCAACCTGAAATTTAAAGGCAAATCAAGAAACGACATGCCAAATATGACTCAAAAGGATAAAGATATCTAGAAAAGCAGAATAAAAAAGTCTCATGCCATACCTACTTTAACAAGAATGACTCATTTAAGAGAACCAATATCTCTAGTAACACCACTATATTGCCCAAAAAAAGTATCATTCAATGTATCATGCTCAAATGCCTTCCATTTTAGGTCGTCAATATAGTACTAGTGCTCATACCTAAGTGGGCTGTTGATCTATTTTCATTCCACTCCCCATCATGATGTAAATTCCCTTCTTTCCAAACCACAGTCTAAGGCTTATTTCATTAGCATGGTTAGAGCTTTTGACTAACTAAAGTCAAACTAGATCATATATTTGTCCCACTCGTGCACTGATGTAAATCTACACTGCAAGTAATTCAACAAGCTTTACAAGTAATTACAATATTTCCACATTATTGATACATGTTGAAGCAGACAAGTATAACATCTTCAACCAATGTGTTGTTCATTTGTTTCAGCATGAATATGAACCATGCAATTACAATATGCTGGTTTTTATTTTAAATATTCTCAATTCACAGGAAGAGAGAGATTTAAATGGAAAAACCACCAGAGGGATACCTTATCATTGTTGTTTTTGGTGAGTGCAGCTCCCACAGCCCCCCCAAGTGATCTTCCAAAGACTACTATTTTATCTGTGTCAATATCAGTTCGCTGAGAGAGATGATCCAATGCAGCCTGATTGAGAAAGAGAAAAGAAGGAAATAAAGAAATAGTTAAGATTGATGGCATATTAAGGTATCTTTTTTCAATAAAATAGAATAGAACAGAGACAGAACCTGAGCATCATTAATAATTCCAAGTTGAGAAGGATAACCATCACTCGCTCCATAACTGTTTAACCAATTAAGATTCATTAAACAGATGAGTGGTATATTAAGGGGAATCATGGTCATACATATGAAAGCTAAAAAAGAGAAGCATTCATAAGATATTTAAGACTCGCACCCTCGATATGAAAGCATGAAGACATTGCACTGTAACCTCTGTAACATCACGCGAATCATTTCCAGACGGTGAGCAATATCTGCAGACCAGTGGTCAAGGCTGAGCAAGAGGAAAAATAAACCACCAACTGAATCCAATAAAAAGAAGATTATAATACAATTATAAAATGAAATATCAATGAAAAAGAAAGGATACTTCCAGCGTTCTCTTGAAAAAACAGGAGGGTTGGACCTGCAAAACGAGCATGAGTAATTTCTAAGCATTGAAATGGCAAGTCGTCATTCTCATTTTCTTCTAACAATTTTCAAGTTTTTACTGCAAATTTTCAACAACGTGTAATAGCTAAACCAAGTGCTTAACTTAGAGAGTAGCAAATAGCAATCGGCCAAACAAATCTTAAGCCAACAAAAACCACCACTAGCTAAAAAGGTCTTCATACCACAAAAACGAACCACGATCCCCCTAAGGAGAACAAATACCACTAAAATCTCTATAATTCAATTAAAACGTATAACGCAAATACGCAATCCTCGTAGAAAAGGCTAAAATGAAGCGGATCAGGACTCAGAGTGACCTCGGCAATCAGGGAAGAGCTTGATGAACCAAGAATGGAGTCGGACTCCGTCGGACGACCGGAGCCAAACGTCCTCGTAGATGAGCCGGAGACGTGCCGGCGTGATCGGGTAAGATTTGGTTAGACCCGGCAAAACCGGAATGTAAACGAGCTTCTCTTGGAACGCCACCAGCAATGCCAGCCCTGCCACCAGTATCCCTCCTATTCCGTACAAAATTAAGCTCATGTAAGACTCCATTATCTTCTTCCTGTTCGTCAGTCTCGTAACTTTTCTTTTTCTTCAGCTTCCTCTGGAGATTGTTTCCGTTGTATAGATTTGTATAAAATTAATATTTACTAATTAAAAAATGACATTAATATTATGGGTAAGATACGCCTTAGATCATTCATTTCTAAAAATTATAATTTAATCACATAATTAATATATTATTACAAATAAACCATTCAATTAAAATAGGAGAAATTACACATTTAGTACCTAAACTATCATTTTTTCCATTTTGATGCCTCAACTTTATTTATTTATTTCTCAAATCATACCTAACGTTTAGTTTAGGTTTTATTTTGTTATTCCACCGTTAATAACTTAATAGTGATAAGTTAGTGATTCTGTTAAGTTTTCAACAGTGGGGTATCAAAATGAAACATAAACTAGACGTTAGGTTTGATATGATTTGAAAAAAAAAGTTTAGGTACCGAAATGAAACAAAAGTGATAGTTTAGGTATTAAACATGGAATTTATCCATTTAAATATTATTATAAATAAATCAGTGATCAATAAATATTAAACAAAATAATGACACAACCTAATATATATTAGGGTAAATTACACGTTTAATACTTAAATTATCAATTTTGATCCATTTTAATACCTAAACTTTTAATTTTTTCAAAATCATACCTAAAATTTAGTTTTTATTTCATTTTAATACCCAGTTCAAAATTCAACGTCAAGTTTTGAAAATAAAATAAAAGTTTATATACTAAAACGGGCCAAAACTGATAGTTTAAGTACTAAATGCATTAAGATTTTAACTATCGGGTACTAAAATGATATAAAAATTAAATATTAGGTACAATTTTGAAATAATTGAAAGTTTAAGTATTAAACCATATCAAAACTAATAGTTTAAGCACTAAATGCATAGTTTACCCTATTTATTAAGACAATATTAAATTAATACAATTACATACTTAAAATTCAATTTTAAATCAGTTTGATCTTCATAAAATAATCACAATTCCAGGTATTATAATCCATGATTAAAATTAGGATCAATTGTTACATAACACTATCAAACTAATAATTAGAATATGTCTGAACTTGAACCAAAATAAACCATAGCACGGTCATGTTTTCATTAGCGTCGTGTTTCCGCTATATCCCGGGCGCTATCACGCATATGGACCGCTATTTAAATCCATGATCCATTCTAATGGACACAAGCAACATTCATAACAAATAAGAACCAAGTGGGCAGAATCTTAGAACAGATGTTTTTAAGACACTTTACAGTTGCATAACGAGCATGGAAGATGGTCGAAATGTTGATGATAATAGATGATACAAAAGCCAAGGATGAGTTGCCAACTTCGTCGCCCCGGTTTCTCACAGGACAACCGAAGCATAGTGTCGGATTCCATTGGGCACGCTGCTCGCGCCGGGAGAGATGTCTGTGAATCCTTGTTTCGACCGCTGGAAGCTGCCGTTGTTGTTGGAGATGCTCGAGTTGTCCAAGCAGCTTGTACTTGAACCGCTGCAGTCTGCTACACGTGAATAGCTCTCGAAGCCTGATCCGCTGTTAATTCGGTCTAAGCAGCTGGCATCGGAAATGGAACGGGACCTCGGGTTGAAAGTTGGATCGGGAGGTTGTATGAGCTTCTTTTTGCTAAGAAAGCGTCCACCGCATCCCCTAACCCTATTCAGTGCATGACGATGTCGAGATTCATGAAGATATGGTCAAGCTTGTTTCGAGATTTGACAAGTTTGTTTTGTGCTTCAAGCTTCGCACGATGCCGCTTCCTTCTAAGAATCCCATTATATTGTTTTGCATTGACATAAACGGGGCAGTCTTCAGCAAGATCGAGTGTCTAGAGATTAAAAATGGGTGAATATAAAAGAATGAATATAAACGAACTTCTCATCGAACAGTTCACAAATAATTTGTTGAACGTTCGATTCATTTATAGGCAAATGTAATCTCATGCAACATCGATGTAGTGAGTTATGATCTAGGACTGACCATCGATAACTCTACTTAGTTTAGAAGGGCTATAGCATGTACTAGCGTCCACTCTTCATCTACAATCTCTCAATTCACCTTTAAATAGGGATGGGCGTTGGACCTGAACTCGACGAGTTTCGATCCGAATTGATCTAACCAAATTAGATTTAGGGTAAAAATATCTTATATGAACCGATTTGCAAAATTATAATTTTACATTATATATTTAGAAATAATTATAATTATACTCCTCTATATATTATTTTCTTTCAATTAAATCCTTATTTTTATTGAATAAAAAATAATATTTTTAAATAAATATATTATTTAAGATCAAGTCAGATTTGGATCGGAAAAATATATATATTTTCGGGTCGGGTTCGATGGATGATTTATAATTTTCGGGTTAGATCGGGCGGATCAAAAATCTGATCCGAAATGACCCGACCCATGCCCATCCATACCTTTAACCACCACTCTATCCTTTATACATCAACATATGTATTTGTACCTTCTAAACTTGAAAATTTATCAAGGGTTTAGATCCAAAATTCGAATAAGAGAGGGACTAAAACCATGATTAGACCAACCAAAATCAGACAAATCTCTGGAGTTGGATCTTCATCAAAGGAGCACAAAGGTACATGAGGTATTGCTTCCATTTCATTATTGTCTGATTCAGGAGGTGAAAACTGGGTGAGTGAAAGGAGAAAATGACCAGACATTACGCACTCCATTGATATCTGATTGGCTGTTGGCTGTTGGCTGACAATTTAGCCCCTGCAAAGAAAAAGAAGTCACCTTTAGTCCCTACAAAAGACATCATCAAATTAAGTAAAAACTAAAATACTAAATAAAAAAGTTTACCCAGCAACAATCAAACCTGCAAACAGCCTGCCCTTGTACACCCCCACCCGCACGCGCGGCACTCTCAACTTTACATCAGCAACAAAGTACACAATTAAGTATTAATTGCACCTTCATCCCTAAACTATGAGCTCAATTATAGTTTACTCCTTCAACTATTTCTCATACAGTGTAAATCGAACCCAACAACCCAAATCGGCTTATGTGTTTCAAACTTGTTCACTGTTTAGTACTGTACATAAATATGAACGTATGTAGAATTCGATTTACGTTAATTAATCAATAGATCAGATATCGGTTTTCGAAGAGTAATGCTATCTCTTTCTTTGGTCGTTGTTTCACACGATCTACTTGCACATTTCTACTTGATCTGTGTCGTTGCAGCTTTTGACACACTCTAAGTAGACATTAAAGCTTTAAATTAACCCTTCCCTGTCCCCTTTCTTTTGTTTCCCTTCTTTAATCTCAAAATTCCCCTGTTTTCTCCCTGTATAAATCTCTGTTTCCCCTGTTCTCGTCTTGTGCTTGTGTACGCAAAAAAGAAAACATGCATAGGAGAGAGTGTTCCGTGATAGACATTACGGTTCCTCATAGAAGAAGAAACCCTTCTTTCTCTTCGACTCTTATAGATGTTATTTATCGTTCCGTCGACGATTCGGGGAACGGAGACGAGCCGTCATTGTGCCATTACAGGGAGAAAACAGGTGCAAACCCTGTTAAGAAACAGGGCAGTGGTTCCATGGAGAAGGCTTCGAGTCTAAAACGGGCTATCATGATCGAGAAATGGATTGAAAAGCAGGGCAATTATGGCTCAGCTGTTGATTCCAACTCGGTTTCGAGCTCCTCGGGTTCCAGCAACGGAGGGATCTTCTCGTCCTCCGAAGCCGAGTCGAGAAGATCCAAACCGGACAAGAACAACAAGCAAGAAGGTGGTGGAGGGTTCACGAAGACCAAACTCAAGGCATTGAAAATCTATGACGAATTGAAGAAAGTGAAGCAACCGATTTCCCCCGGTGGTTGGATCACTAGCTTCTTGAACTCCATTTTCAATGCCGATGCCAAGAAAGTGAAGATGTGCTCCGATGGGGTCTCCGGCGATGTGAACTTTCGTCGGAAATCGAAATCGACAGCTTCGTCACCCACTTCATTTTCCAGGTCCTGTTTGAGCAAAACACCTTGTTCAAGAGGTAATAATAATAACAAGTACGGTGTCGTAACCGTCTTTCGGTTGGTTCCCGGAATTGGGCTTCGACTTAGAAAAATATGGATTGGAGTCGCCACCGATAATTTATTTAAAAATAAATGGGTTGATCGGATACCCTATTTCTTACATGATCTGCGTCTTACCAGAAATATGTCGGGCTCGGGAGTCGGTTACGGTTAAGGAAGGATTAACACCCTTGAACCGCCCTTTCGGTACTACGTAATTTCCAGTTGTCTTAATTAAGAAAAATAACAAGTTAAATTAAAATGTAAAGTTTCAATCCTAATTACTTACCCTTGATTAATTTGAAAATATCCTTTAAAAAGAATCGAGAAATGTGTTAGATAAACAAGGTAAAGAAAACAAATAAGATACAAGGGAAAAATAAAATAAATAAAATAAATAAGTAAGAAAATAATAGTAAAGTAATAATTATATATAGTAATATTTGAAAAAAGAAAAAAAATATAAATATATATATATATATATATCAAAGTATTAATAAAATAAATAAGCTATATATATACGCCAAATACTTAAAAATAGAAAAGCTACCCTCCCAATTCACCGAAAGTGGGGGGCTTTAGTAAGAAATAAGACAAAAAAAATGGACCATCTAGGTTAGTAGTATATAATATAATGTTTAATAATGATAATGATAAAGACACAATGTTTTTTTTAAAAGAAAATAATAATATAATAATAATGAATAAAAAAACAAAAATAATATAAAATAATATAAAGTTATAAAGTTATAAGATATATTACATAAATAAAAAAATAATCAAATAAAAATAATTAAGAATATATATATTTAATAATAGGTATATAAATAAACTATTAAAAGTATAAAAAAATATATACGACTAGATAAAGATAATTACAATATATATATATAGTAATATTAGACTTATAAGTAAAATATTAAATAAATATATATATAATAATAAAATAGTAAAAAAAAATAAATAATTATATAT